TGACAGGAGTAGGCCGCAATGAGGAGCATGATCGATGGGGGAAGAGAGGGAGGAGATGGAGATTGAAGGTGAAGAGCGAGAAGCAAGAGGGGTGGAGGTCGACAGGGGGCCGGCGCGAGGGGAGAGAAAGAGAGCCGGTGGGAACTCAAGCCCCCAAAGAAGGAACGGAGAAGGGAATAATTGGCACCCAAGGGGCCCGGTCAATAGGTTTACAACTAACAGGATCAAACGAAAGGGACAAGAAGGATAGTTACTAGACTTTGCGGAAGAAAGTAAAGAAAGAAGGAAGAATTGAAGATGAAGTCGCGGAATCCACGGTCCTGACTGTACGGAGGACCTACTGTACACGGACTCTACTAAACTAAACTAACTAACCTCTGGTGCTGCGCTGGCGAGAGGGACAGTGAGAGTGTGATGGACTATGGAGCTAATCCTCTACGAGTTATTAACGAGTATTTGGAGAATGATATAATGATTAATGAATCATCTAATATAATATAATACTGCGGATTATAGCCAGGATCCAGTTACCCTAGAGACGATATTAATAGTAAATGGGAAATCGGCCCCAAACTACGGCAGCTCTTTATCCTGAGGATCAATGCTAATTAAATGATAATGACCATATCTCCGGGTACCTGGCCGATACTAATAGGCACCAAGTAGGTATGACAGCTGGAATAAGGTGCATCGGATCAACCATCACAACAACGCCAATAGTAAACCGCGGTTGCTTGCTTCTTTTCTAGGAGATTAAATTGCCAGGACTCGAACGTGTTCCTGGTCACCCTTACCTACGGCGATACGCCGCAGGGGGGCTGGAGGGCGTCTCGCCATCCTTGGTGACAGTCCCTGGATCCGAGCCATCTGACAGCATGCATCAGAAGTACAGAGGACTACACTATGTACGGTGTACAGTAGCTCCCTCCATGCGTGCATGAGGGAGAGCAAAAAGCTCCGTGAATGAGACGGATCAATTGCATTGTACTCACACTACCTGAGTACTCACAGACAGTGAAGAGGAGAAGTGCCAAGTCATCAGGGGCAACGGAACCATTGTTTCATCGCCCGAGACGGGCAACTCGCTGGAGCCTCTCGCAGTCGATCGTCATTAAGCAGGTAACACTTTCGCTCTCTGCTTATTGGCCTAGCAAGGCTTTTTCTCTTTCTCTTTTTCTTTTTCTTTTTCTTTTATTCTTTTCCTCTGTTTTCTTAGAGTGTTTTGTGTCTGTGTTTGTTTTTCGGGCTCATTTAACATGAACCGAGTCGGGTCTCGCTAGCTCTCCTGCTATTCCCCTCAAATTAACTTATTCAGGATTCAGCTTCCCCATTGTCCTGGTAACCATCCCTTCGTCATCGTCACTTTTCACTTTCCTTCTGAAAGAGGTCCGAGTCCGAAGCTGAACCGCGCCCATTTAGGTGCCCAATTCGAGGAAAGGAGAAGGTTAAAAAAAAAAAATCGATTTCCAAGGTATCGGGAGTGACCGCCCCTTCGTAGACAGACCTACCAGGCTACCTTAGTTCTCCAGCTCCACCCAAGTCTCCACGGTAGGGATGCCAACCAGGGTTCGGTCTTCTCCTGGGCGGGCTAAAATCGACGGAGCCCTTTCGTCTTTTGGATTGCTTCCCATTTTAGTGCCCAAAACGACCGAGAGGTGTTGATGCACGGACTGGCCGCTTGACTACCTTGAGATAGTGGTCTGATCTAGCCCTTCAGTCCCGTGTCCATTACATCATCGGTCATTTCTTGGTTATTGGGAACTACGGAGTCCTTTACTGCTTTACTGTAATTGCTCGGCTCCGGACGGAGGTGGGAATGGGGACGGGATAGCTTAGCTATCGAGTAATCGACGCTAGATGAATCCGCTCTGGAGCCCACTTCCGGGAACTTTATATCTTCTGGTTCTGGACTGCTAACGGTTTGGAGCTTCATATGCCTCTCAGGTGTCCGTCGATTGCATGATCTCCACTTCATATAGACAGGCTTTTCGCAGTTATAGTTCCCGATCATGGTGTGCTGATGAGTTGAGGCGGAGTGCAATATCCTGGTCTCTATACCTCGATGTATAAACACATGCGCTGTTTCGGACGGCCTCGGCTTTTATATATACCCGTGCTTAAGCGCGATATATTCTGTAATTCGTTTGAAATGAACAATACGTCAGAATACAGGTTTACTCTGAGTAGATACATAACTAGACAAGGCGACCCCTTGTACTCGCCAACATCTGCTGACTATATACGGAGTACAACAAGTAGTTACCTAGGTGGTAACCAACCTCAACACAGATAAACTCAGCCAACGCACCACCAAATAATAACAAATCCTGAATCAGCAGATGCGAAATTGCCAGTAAAATCAGTACCTCCGTGTCCACTTCTACTGCAGCCGACAAACACGAATGAGATGAGAACGGAGTTGTACAGCAGAAACATGCAAGGGCGCAGGTGTTACAGCATTCAAAGAGTTTCACTCGACTCCTCCCTAGTACGGAGTACTGGGTCATCCCCCAGCCAGCCTTAATGAATATATTGAACTCCGTACAGCCTCTCCTCCATTCGAGCACTCGAACTCTTAGTTGGATATTCAATAATTCAACCTCTCCATCGAGAATGCTTACTCAAGATCAGGTGGGTCGGGAATCCTGCATCGCAAACTTAAATTCCCATTCCTGAAATGTAGAGCTTCAGATGAGAGATCCAGACTGGGATTCAAATTTCCGATAGCGCCATAAGCTCTCCCCCTAGTCGATGGCTGCGTCTCATTCTGTACTGTGTACGGAGGAGTCGAGGTGCTACGGAGTACATCCACTAAGATGCGTACGGATAGTATGATTCTGGCCATTTGCATAACATCCAAGCCGAGGAGTGGAGACTGCAGGAAGAATTTCTAAAATACTGACAGATTCTTGAACTTTGGATTCCACCGCAGCCCACTTGGATTGCGCCCACTCTAGAAACGTTCTGCGATGATATCACCACTGATACAGCCTTTTGATGGACTGCCCTGAACTCTGGGGTATTGACAGAAGAAAGTAGTATAGTATTAAATATTAGGTAGTATTGGCATAGTTACTCTCCCTACGACCGATCATTGAACCATCGTCCACAATATTGGCGTCCTTTAAAACCCCCTTCACTCCTCAGAATCCCTTGCTAGCACATAATATATTTCGGACATAGTACCTAGCTTCAATAATCTCCCCCTCCGCAATTCACCATTCACCCATCCCCATTCCAACCTCGACTGGAAACTCCAACTCCGTGCAACCCAACAACTCCAACCCAGTAGGCCAATAGTTCAATAGTCCAGCAACATCCCACAAATCACACCCCAAATTTCCGCTACGTAACACCGCATCGTCCTCACCCTCGACGAACCGATCCCAGCCCGACCGGCCACAGTAAACTGGCCAGTCATACCTCCCCTGCCTACCTGCTATGTATTTACTAGTTAGTGGTGGCGAGAACTGGAGCCCAAGGCGTTCTGGGGAATTTGTTTTGTTTTGTTTTGGTGTGGTGTGGTGTGGTGTTGTCTTTGCTCCCAATGATGTCTCGGGTTGTCTCCGTCGACTACGTTACCTACTTGCCTAGATTGTGCTGTGTGTGTACACCGCTAGATTTGCGTCGCTTCCCCCCCCCTCTTGTCCTCTTGTTCTATACCGATGACATAATTCGCAATTGGCGGTGAAGTACGCTCTTTCCTGTATACGCTGTCTTGTACTCCTAAACGGCGATTCTTGCAGCAACGAAAGCAGGAGTGTTGCCAATATGATACATCAAAACAGGAGTCTAATAAAGGGAATAGATGTACGGAGTACGCCCAGGAGCCCAAGAAAGGGATCAAACCGTTAAACCCCCTCCCTGCGCCGTTGCCGGGCCAAAATTCTCCGATCTAGATTTTTCTGTCTGTCCCCTGGCTTTCTCTAGACTCTAGAATCTTTTTATTCGTATGTATGTGCCTCTGGGCGCTGCGTTGCATTAGTCCCATACAGTAGGGATTCAGCTATCTAACAAATTGACCTCCCGACAAAAGGTTACCCAAGTAAGGCTGTATGTATGGATTCTAAGGCTAGTCCTTCATCAATGTGTAGATGTATGTATACAGGCCCACAAGGCTGGAACCACTCCGTTAAACCAACCATGTAAGGTTCGTCGGGGCGGCTTTTGCTGGCTATATTTATCACTGGGTTTGATCAATCGATGGAAGTTAATCTGCTTCTGAAACGCATCTAATCTTCCGGATGCCTTGCATCATGTAAACTTAAATGAGTGGTAGTAGAGCTGGGCCAGGGTGAAGGAAATGAGAGGCAGTCAGTGTGAAGGACGGTTTTCATAGAGATCTCCAAATAGTTGTCGAAAGAATGACAAGATAAGAGACTACCTGCTATATGTCACATACATGCTCTAATTCAGTCATCGTGAAGTTGTGTGAGTATCAGTGTGTCGTTTCTTACTATGATTCTACGTGAATATAGGATCCTCAGCAATGCATTAATTTGATCTAGTACCATCGAAGTCGAAATATATAAGTTTGTAACTATATAGTTAGCATCAATCTAACCTCTTTATCTCAAACCTTCTCGTCCCAACGAGTCCTTGAACGGTCTTCCCCCATTCCTTCATTATCTGCTTCTAATTCCCTTTTCCAACTTTCTGAGAAAGTTGGAAATGGATCCCAACGAATTCCCCAACAGCTGCGTTCTTAACAGTCATATCAAAAAAAACCATAGATCTTGGCGGGCCTGGAGTGCTCTCATCCTATCTGAGCGTTTCCAGCGAATGCTAAGCAGTAAACCGAGGTTTTTGATCACGAGCGGAAATCTGGTGAAGATGTACAATGGGTAAGATCATAGTTTCCCCAATTCACTATCTCTAAGTTAGTAAAGTGAACCTAGTAGATTTCCTCATGGATGTTGTGGCTGCCGTCGCGGAACCCCACTGCAAAGAAGATAGATGGTCGACTCAGGAAACAAAAAGATAACAGACAAATCAATAACTCAACCCAGACCAAAACCACCAACATCAATCGAATCGGGTGTGATGACTTGGCCTTCCTCTGGAGGAAAGTCTTCTCCCACAGCGCGACAGAAACCGATTAGATAGCTAGTGTGTCGATCAGAATTTGGGATTCGTGAAGCTATATGGAAAGCAAAGGATAATAGCTTATTCCTTCAGACTTACACTTTCTTTGTTTGCTCATCATAATAGACTTGCTCGGTCTCCTGCTCAAAGAAAATCCAACCACGAAGACGAATGTACCTTGTATTCCCAAAGGTTAATATCAGGAGTCAAAATACAGGAGGAATTAAGGAAAGCACACTCAAGTAAATCTGACAACTTTGCTAGGATGAGGCTTCTGTCATCGGGCGTAAGAGATGGCAGAATATCCAGCACACATTTCCCAGGGATATTCGACATGACAATCATACGAGCGTACCCCGTTGGGGAGAGGTCGGTTGCGTCTTGAGTCACTTGCAGGCTGTCAAAGAATTGAGGAGTGAGTCCAGAGCCTTGACATTTTCGTAAGACAGTACATTCGTCATCGAAGTTCTCTTTGGCGAAGTTCAGGGCAAACGGCAACTCTTCGTCGCTCATTATGGATGGATTCAATCTATGAGTCGATGGTTAGTTGCGCTGGTCTAGAAGGCAACGGATCCCTAATCATATGATCTTACTGGTAGCGAATCTTCAAGATCACCACCTTGCCTGTTGTAGTCACTTGGCCCTCGAAGACTGCCCACCGCTCGTTCATGTTTGGCTGCGACTTTTCAGAAAGGGCTCTTGTGATCAAGACATTGCGCCCATTGATATTCATGTAGCTTCCAACAGACACGGGGCAAATCTTGCCAGTAGGGAAATAGAAAAGATCCATTGTTAGTGTTCAAAGAAAGACTCTAAGATGATACGAAGACTGTAAGATAGTAGGAAGATTGTGAGATGATAAAAAACAAAAGTAATATGGTGGATGGAAGAGAGTGAGAAGAGTTTGAAGAGAGTAAAGGTGTGAACTCATGTGCGCGAAGAAGAGGAGTGGAAATGATAAGTGAGAGTTGAGAGGGGAAGGTATCAAAATTACCCCTATATGACATATGTAAAGTCAATCACTGTACATCTAGCAAAAGCTTCCACATGTACCAACTATGTGAGTGCTGCGGATCAGTCGATAAGGGAAGATGTTTGATGTAAAAAAAATGTATATAAATGCCATATTCCTGTCGTGTCGATCATGTCTATCCAATTGAATATAAAGCACAGAAATGATATAATCATCAAAATCGCCAGAAATAGATATACCAAGAAAAGAAACAAGCCATTCGTCTTATCCAAATAATCTCAAGTCCACTTAAATAGAAAGCAAATATTCTTTAGCGCTTTCCTCCCGACATGCCAGTCCCGCCGAGAGACATCGTGCCCGAGGCACCGTATGCTGGAGGAGGCGTAGGGGTTGGCGAGGGTCGGCGCGCAACAGGATCACGACTGGAACCAGGCACTCCTGGCGGGATTTCGCCGCCGTCACCCGTCCCAACCACCACTTGCTTGCCATCGCGCATACGCCCGACGACCATGCCCTTGGCCACTGACTTGAGCACGGCTTTGCGACTCACACCGGAAGCATCGATATAGACCAGTCCCACATTCTTGACTCCACCAGTCAAATCGGTAGCAACGGAGCCAGCTTCCGCTCCGTAACGGTGTCCGATCATCTGACTGGCGGCCGCAGAGCCGGTCGTCAAGACCTGTCGTGCACTCTGCTCAATACCATCGGCCAGCGTCGAGAACGCGATCATCGACTTGTTCAGCATGCCAGGCTTATAGTCGGGGTTCCCTGCCTTGTCGACGCCCTTGTTCTTCCCGTTGTCCTTGCGACGAGCCAAAGTAGCACCGAAGTTCTGCGCGACCTTGCCCACCTGGCCCACCGTGCGGGCGGAGATGTCTGCCGCGCTGTGGGAGAAGTCGCCGATCTTACGGACCCTGGTGTGTGTGTTCTCGGAGAATGTCATGGGCTTCGGGTTTGGTTTGGTTTTCTTCGTGAAACTGTCGGCGCCCGTAACCAAGGCGTTGGCCAGGTAGGTAGATGTCGTCACAAGCAATCGGGAGGCCGTGGCGGAGGTCTGCACAATAGTCGAGTTCTTGTAGGCCGGGTGCCGAGCCATGCGCAGGTATTCTTCGGAGACATTGCTGACGCTGATCTCGTTCTTTTCGCCTTCGCTGGGGAGCTCGACTTCGACTGGTCCTATTTCCAAGTTAGTGACCGAACAATGCAGCAACAAGGAATTTACTGGCTTACTCTTAGAACCCGGCTTCACGCCCGGCTTCTCAACGACGTCATACCCCTCCATCTCACCCACCACACTACCATCTTCCTCGTCCACCAGCACGATGCGACCATGGGCATCTTGCTTCGTGGTAGTGCCAGCCGGGCCAGCAGAAACGTACCCCTCGCCAGGGGCAAAGTTGGCCGGGTTGTAGGGAGCAGGGCCCTTGGGAGGAGCCGCGCGCTCCAAGAAAGCGGTACACTGCGCCAGAATGGTTTCGAAGGTGTCGACATCCTCCTGAGTCACCTTGTCCGGCCCAGAACCGATACTGGGGAACTGAATGCGGATGAAAGCGCCCGCGTCAGGGCCCAGATCCCATCGCGGAATCAAGTAGCTGTTCGGGGGCTGGTGATAGATCTGGGTCGTAGCGGGGAGCGCAAGGTCCAGCTCTGGCGGGAGATGTAAGTGCAGGTAGAAATCCTCCTCTGGCGAGGCCTCGGGGGAATTCTGAGGAACGGTGCTTGTGGGCACCATTAGCAGGGAGAGGGTCTGGGGCCCTGACGGGGTGAGTTCTTGTTCGTCGCCATTTTGCAGGTGGAAGGCCTTGATGTTGTTGATGCTGTAGAGGAGTCGAGGGTCTTGGGCGGGGGAAGTCATGTTGAGGTTTTTTGTGGAAAGAGAGGAAAAATAATAATAAAGAAATCGAATAATTTAACCAAGACCGAATCAATGAGGTCAGCGAAAGGGATTGTGAGAAGGATCAAATAAAATAAATTAATCAATTGGTGATATCAAGGCGGGGCGATGACGCTGCGGGGGCAAAACAACTGATTGGGTTTCTTGTCTTGTGCAACTGCCTGCTGTCTTCTTGTAATTAGGCAGCGATGAAAAAAAGGTCTGAGGCAGTACAAATCTAGGAGGAAAGTCTTTCGCGATATGATCGGGGGGAGGGAGCAATAAATAGCGAGGCAGGCGACAAAGTCTTGGGCTTCTTGGAGACCCATTCGTCACGCGTCATTGCGCTGATATCAGACCCTGGCTGACATAATCCATTCCGTCTTCCTGATTGGGTCTTCGCATTGCTGCGCCACAGTACCAAGGGGACAGTGCACCGCCACAAGAACCACCCGGCGGGGCGTGAGTGGCTGGTGCATTCTCCCCGAAATGGCAGCGACAAACAATGGACAGTAAAAGATACAATAAACTCTCCCACTGGCTATGGCCCGGAAATGGCAAACGCATGCCCATCTAGAGCCTTCCCCTTTCCAACATCTCACAGATACCCCCTAGTCTACCCTGCTAAGTAGTTGTTACTATTAACATCCCACTTCCCCCTCCCCAACGGCCCACCTTTGCAGTTCCTGGCAACATCTCCGGGTTAGCGGCGCTTAGATTCCCCCTTCTTCTACCGCCAACAGACTAGTTGCAGACATGGCGTGCTTCCAGATCCTCTCGGATCTTCATCTAGAGACCCCCAATGCGTACGACCAATTTAGAGTGCGTCCGCAAGCGCCGTACCTCGCTCTCCTAGGAGACATCGGCGAGGTCAAGGATGACGGGCTTTTTCTTTTCCTAGAAACCCAGCTTCGCCAATTCCACGCCGTCTTCTTCCTCCTGGGTAACCACGAACCGTATGGCTCTGACTGGACCACCACCACAGAGCGACTCGCCGCCTTCTCGGCATTCGTCGACGAGAGACGAGCCTACGAGGCCCAGCAGCCGCAGCAGGAACCGCCCTTAAACCCCTTCGGCCAGTTCGTCTTCCTCAACCGAACCCGCTACGACGTCTCCCCGGACGTGACCGTCCTCGGCTGCACGTTGTACTCGCGCGTCACGCCCACCCAGAAGAAGCAGGTGAGCTTCGGCCTGAACGACTTCTTCCACATCCAGGGCTGGACGGTGGAGAAACACTCGGCATGCCACGAAGCGGACCGCGCGTGGCTAAACGAACAGGTCTCCCAGATCGCGGCGCAGGAACCGCATCGCTCGATTGTCATCTTCACGCATCACAGCCCCTCGGTGGTCGCGGACGCCGTGGACCCCAGGCACGCGAATAGTGTCATCTCGTCGGGGTTCGCGACGGACATGTCGGGGGAGGCGTGCTGGGAGAATCCCCGCGTGAGGCTGTGGGCGTTCGGGCATACCCATCACAATTGCGATTTTACGGAGGAGCGGACGGGGAAGCGGGTGGTGACGAACCAAAGGGGGTATTAATATGCGCAGGCCCGGGTGTTTAATCCGTTTTTCGTGGCGCGAGTTGGACTCATTCTGGAATGATAAATGTACTTGTATGATGAGACGAAGTAATGAATAGAATGTACACCACAGTACTTGAGGAATCTGCGTAGAGAAAGGTTCGTAGATCAAGGTATGAAGTAAGAGGAAGGATGGAATTTCCCCAGACTTGCAGCTGGTGGCACTTCTCCAGCTACACATAGCCGCGTTTAACCGAGGCTCGTCCGCGCCCTTGTGATTTCGGCGACCCCGGCTTTCCTCCCTCTCCGCTCTCTCTTACTACCTCTTCACCTTTCTTTCTCTCTTTCCTTTTCTCCCTACTCTACTCTCCCGTGTAAATCTCTTCCGCAATCACCTACAGCTCCTGCTATTAGCCTCACCTCTTAATCCTTTACCATGGCCTCTATCACTCGTGCGTTGCGGCCTTTGTCCCGCACTGCTCCCTCCCTCCGTTCGGCCGCGAGACGGCCGTTTCCCTACCGATTCGCTCAAAGGTGCGTTGCTAAGCCTGTCCGGTCTGGATTGAACACGAGCTGCACAGTGCCTGTCTATTCTATGATCTACTTTTATAATTTCCAGTCTATCAATCAGCTCAAGCTAATACACCCTCCCCTCCAGCACCGCCCCCACATTCTCAACCACGTCCCTTCGACAGGACCCCGACCTCTCGCATCTAACCCCGACCCCGATCTCGCTCCTCTCGGAGACAGAGACCTTCCTCCACGAATCCGTGTCCAAGTTCGCGGCGGAGCAAATCGGCCCCAAGGTTCGCGACATGGACGAAGCCGAGGCCATGGACCCGACGATCGTCGAGCAGCTCTTCGAGCAAGGGCTCATGGGCATCGAGCTGCCGGAGGAGTACGGCGGGGCGGGGATGAACTTCACGGCGGCGATCGTGGCGATCGAGGAGCTGGCTCGGGTGGATCCCAGCGTGAGTGTGCTGGTGGATGTGCACAATACGCTCGTGAACACGGCGATCTTGAAGTACGGTGATGCTCAGGCGCGTCGGACGTGGTTGCCCAAGTTGACGACGGGGACGGTTGGCTCGTTTTGTCTGTCCGAGCCGGCGTCCGGGTCCGATGCGTTTGCGCTGCAGACCAAGGCCGAGAAGACGGCGGATGGGTATAAGTTGAATGGGTCGAAGATGTGGATTACGAATGCGATGGAGTCCGGGATCTTCATTGTCTTTGCGAACTTGAACCCGAGTCAGGGGTATAAGGGAATCACGGCGTTCATTGTCGAGAAGGATACGCCTGGTTTCTCGATTGCGAAGAAGGAGAAGAAGTTGGGTATTCGGGCGAGTAGCACCTGCGTGCTGAACTTTGATGATGTCGTCATTCCCAAGAGCAATCTGCTCGGCGAGGAGGGTCAGGGTTACAAGTACGCTATTAGTGTGCTGAACGAGGGCCGTATTGGTATTGCTGCCCAGATGACGGGTCTGGCTCTGGGTGCTTGGGAGAACGCTGCTCGGTAAGCCTCGCTATTTCCCCCTTCCCTGTAAAAGCGACCATACTAATTGAAACAGTTACGTCTGGAACGACCGCCGTCAATTCGGCCAACTGATCGGTAGCTTCCAAGGCATGCAACACCAGCTGGCCCAGGCCTACACCGAGATCGCCGCGGCGCGCGCTCTCGTCTACAATGCCGCTCGCAAGAAGGAAGCCGGCCAGGACTTCGTCCAGGACGCCGCCATGGCCAAGCTGTACGCCTCCCAGGTTGCGGGTCGCGTGTCCGGGTCCGCCGTCGAGTGGATGGGCGGCATGGGATTCGTGCGTGAAGGCATCGCTGAGAAGATGTTCCGCGACAGCAAGATTGGCGCCATTTACGAGGGAACGAGTAACATCCAACTGCAGACCATCGCTAAGCTCCTGCAGAAAGAGTATACCCAATAAGTGCGATGAATGCTGGCTGAAAATATGCCTAATTTCCTTTTCTTTTTCTCTTTTTTCGTCTTCTTTTTTCTTTCTGTTTGTGTTTATAAATTGATGTTCAACGTAACTAAGTCGGTGGAAGCGCCGAGTCCACAGACAGACTGGCTGGCTGGCCGACTGTGCTGACTGACTGCTTGCTTGCTTGGTTCGTTCTGACCTGACCGCGAAAGGACACCACTCCACTGGTTTGATTTCCACTCTGGATTCGGTATCGATGGCGTGGACAATGCATAACGATCATGTTGTATGATAGAAGAACAGTCAATAATAGAATGCTCAACCGGGAACCCGTGCACCGATCTCGTAGGAAGTTATTTAACTTTTCCTTTCCCTCCCCGAGCCAAGATGACCGTCTCCTGGCGGTGTGCACGTGTTGTTTGTCGTTCGTCGTGAAAGGCAAACCAGGTACCCACACACATGCGCAGGTTGTATTTTCCTGCCGACGTCCATTCGTTTCTCACGATGCCGATAAGCGAGAAAAGGAAGTATCCGAGTTCCACCGGTCGGCTGCATGTTCAACTCGGCAGTTCAGTCCATTCTGAGATACCGGATTCCGAGGGAGACTGATTGGTTGTACTTTTTTTTAAAGTTCGGAAATGGCCCCATATGCTCCATTTTTGCTTGCTCCACTGCCGCTGCAGCAATCGTCATGTCCAGTCCGTTCTTCAATCTTCAAGCACCTCGTTTCTCTCCTGCACGAGGATATAAGAGCAACAAAATAACCACTCGAGCCGACGGGTGGATGGATCTCGGTGGATGGTTGTTCGGTCCGGTTTTAACCCGGCAGACAAGTTACCATCACATCTGGAAGGAGGTGGAAAGAATGGGCCGATTCGAGGAGGAAGGCGCAGACGAATCATTTGATTGACAACCTGAGGCATTGATGCTTGATCAATCAGCTTGGACGAGTCCCGTAATTCAAGCAAAAGAGAAGACGCACCTGTAGAACATGCTGGCCCTTTCTGATAGCTGGATGATGCAGGCAACCTGCTAACCCAATTGGGGATGGAATGATCTCCTGAATCTTTTCGGAAATCAATAGTTGGAGCATTTTTCCAGATGAGAATATGCCCGCACCAAGGTATAAAAGACAAGGCCTCCAACTTAAGCCGTTTCAACTTGCAAGAAGGACGCTTTCAAGACCGAGGCATCCATTCATAACTGTACCCAGGTCTCGGTGGTTGCTCCGGCTGCTGATATTGTGGTGTGCTCTGGAGCACAGGGTAACCGCCGGCTTCTCTCTCTGCCGAAACATTCGGCACCAAGACCGATCGCTGCCCCCCCGCGAAGGGGACTGGGTGGTGAGGATGGTGCGCCATCTCCTCTGGATGCGGTTGATTGGAGCCCCCGGGAGCATAAAGATGTGGCGGATACGCTTGAAATGCAGGACCCGGTGGCTGTCCACTCCCGTGAGCATTGTACGCAACGTGCGATGCGGGAACCGGCATCGTATTTGGGTTTCGGGGTTGGCCATCAAAGATGTAAGGTTCCACTCTGTTCGAATAATCTGCATCCGAGGACTCACAGATGGATGGGGATCGCGTCGAGCCATATTGCTGCTGCCATTCATGCGTTACCGACACCTGGCTGGACGTCGAAAGGACCGACGGCGCTCTGGAGACTGGAGTTACTCCGAGAGACTCGGAAAACTGGGCTGAAGGAAGTATGTACCCAGATGGAGTACTGGACGATCCTTCTGTCACCAAGGAAGTGGAAAGTCAGTGAAGCTGGTCAAACAGAGAGGCAAGACTGGGACAGAAGAAGGAAACCGAAAGATAACGAAGAGATTTAGCCACTGACCCATGTGCGAATACCCTTGACCACTTGTTATCATCGACAGTTGATGCTTCAACGTCCTGATCTCATTCTCCAGGGCGGCATTTCGTCGAACAATATCGTCGAATTGCTCTCCTTTGGTCTTCAGCTCCGAAACCTGATGCTCTAAGCGTTCGATATGTTCCCTCGTTCGTTGACGGATGGTTCTCTGGGCCTCTCGATCGTTGGCGCGCTTCCTCTCCAGTTGTTCGGCAGAGAGCGCGGTGACCTTACGTGTCCCGGCTCGGGACTCCCGCCTCTTGGTCTGGGAAGGCTCTGGATGGGTGTTCATGATGTGTTCCAGGCCGTAACCCACTCGAGGGAAGTCAGTAGGCAGTTAGGACACGACCTTCGAGAGGTAGAAAAACATGGACTTCGGAACGAGAGCGATGCATTCCAGGTTATACGTGGAGCACGAAAGAACCAGAATCGCTTCTCAATATGTGACTATAGTCGTTCCATGTGCGTGGGTCGCGCTAAAACGCTGGGATTTATGCCAGAGGGGAAGGGCAAGAGGCCGCTTGATATAAGCAAAGGCGGGTGGATAGATAAGTTGGTAATCTTCATTTAGTGCATGGAGAAGGTCACGAAATGACCCGGTCTGCCCAGAGACGAGCCGCAGGAGAGGTTTCGTTCATATACGGAGTAGGCCAGATCCCCATCGGAGTCGGGCACACAAGGCCCTAGGAGCGAAAGAAAGAGCAAGAAATAAAAATTAACAGAAACAAAAAAGTCAAAAAATCTAAACCAAAAGAAAAATTAACCCCAAAAAAATTACACCCAAAGCTCGGTCTCCAGATCGTCGACTGTCGATTTCCGCGCAGGCTAAGTCCCAACATTATTATTAGTCTGTTGCAACTTGCAACCAACAGGACCCTCTGGCCCCTGAGATACGCCAATAGGCACACTTGCAGCAGCAAGAGAAACCCAGAGGGACTCAAGGGAGAAAAGAGAAAAAAAAAAATCCCTGGTGTGGGAAGGGGGCCGACAATGGCCATGTCTTTTTCTTTTTTTCTTTTTTTTCTTTTTCTTCTTTCCTCTCCAGGCTATTACTATGGGTCTGCACTCTGCGCTATGTGCACATTCCGACCCTCCCGACCTACAAGACTGCTCTAAATTCGCAATGGGAGGGGTGAAAAGTCCTCGGCACCTTAGATCGGGGTTTGATTCAACAGCGTCCAGGGGTAGGGGGGGCAGTAATGCTGGTAAGCCAACCCAGTCATGTGCCGGGCCCTGCATCGGTGTATCAAAGAGAAACTGGCGCGGCTGTCATCGTCCTGCGAGCCATGGCATCTTGAAATTTCCATCGTGGGTTCGGATTGTAGAAATTGTACGGAGGACTGAGGAGAAGGCCGAAATGTGGCTACCCGTATGATTTGGTGGACCCTGGTATTACCCAGACCACATGGTGAGCCGAATTAAACTCTCAAACCCAAACGATGTCTCCCCTTCCTCCAGCCCGCGAGCCTTGGTCGGCATTTAGGATAGATCCGGATCGCGAACCAAAGGAATGGTGGTTCGGTAGTGTGGGAGAGGGAGGAAGGCACGTACCAAAGAAAAAAAAAGTGGACAGATCACCCATGCAAGCGATGGAAGTCGCATGAAAGTGTTGGAATCTCGATGCTCATGGGCCCACGAGAATTCGAAAGGGCCTTTCCCAGTGATCATCGAATTCTTATTTGGAATGGATTGATTCCCAGGATCTGCTAGCCTTGGCGATAGTGAGATAAATAAGCGGCTCTCCAGTCTAAGATCCGACGAATGATATCTCAGTATAAAAAGCACCGTCCAGTCACCTATGCCCAACGTGGCTAACTGTATTCAAATGTTCCATGGCTTGTGTTTCGGATCTTGGATAGGAGTCAGCAATTACTCCGTAGCAGCATACTCCGTACTGTAGGTAATGCTCGCCACGAGGTCGAGTAGATCGACTCCACTCCCACAGGAGTCTTCCAAGAGCAAGATAACTCCGTGGAACCGAAGCGGAATAAAGCTCGGAATTATCAAACCATGGAATGGGTCCCTGAGACTAACCAGATCTCCGAGGAGAGAAAAATGAAAAGGCTGAAATGCCCCTCTCTTCTCTCGTATCGGGGAGGAAGTCGGCCCCGAATGCGAGATGCGAGGGGGAAAACCCCCCAAACGAACCCACTTTCGAAATAGAAAAGGATGAAAAAATTGAAAAGTGAAAAATCTCATGATAGATCGACTCCACAGTCCACAGTGTGTTTCCTTCTGGTGCGATCGTGAGCGGGAAGGACGGCGAGGCTGGCTGGTACATGACGCACACCGTTCCTACCATGGTTAGTGGTTCATCTCTAGAAGACCCAGGAATCCCACCTTTTCTCTGCTTCCGCTTCCATCCGTCCCCCTTTGCGATCTCAACTACTCCGTACCCCTTGTTCTTTCCTTCTTTCTTCGTTCTATCTGCCTTCCCTCAATTGCCGAGATCCATAGAGTATAGACTTATTGGTTAGGAAATTTTCTCCATCGGCTGATCCAGATCTGGATCCAGATCTTAACGAAACCCAGGATTGCTTGGAGCTAGTAGACTAGGCGTTGACAAATGCTTGAAACAGTCTGGGGATCTTCCAATCTTGTGTAACAGACTCTAAACGAGCTGTAAGCCTTTCTGTAGCCTAACAATAACAACCAGCCACGAGAAAAATTGGTACTAAGGCTGTGCTGTGGACCTGGCCTGCTGCACAACATAGTGTTGAGGTTGCATAAACATGGAGAAAGGGTCGTGTGCATTTCTAGAAACCGATGGTGATCGTCTGTCCCACGGTCAACTATTGATAATGGGAACTGACCAATTCGACGTTCGGCCCAAGGCAACCGTGGACTTGGCCCCAACACGATCCTGGCAGAACTGTCGCCCAAAGATAGGTTCGAAGTCTGTATCACATTCCCATCGAGACGCCAGAATGCGGTGATACCGTCACGCTCACGGCCAATTTGCTGCGGACACAATCACCAACCTGCAGGATAAGCCAGTTAAATTGCGCCATGACTTTATGGCCTTGGGAATGAAGGTGGGAGTTGGGAACTTGGAAGCGCCCAGGCAAGAGAGCTAAGGTGGTTTCTTGCGCACCATCGCTGCGGCACGGCACAGGACTGATGCCTATCTATCCACAGTATCCTTGATTAGCGCCTTCTTTTGGTTCGTATTCCTATGCCTTCCCAGGCGAGGGGTAGCTTGCTTAAAACCAACGGTGGTTGTCGAAGCTCCAATAGCACCTGTCCTTCGGGGACGGAGTATCTGTAGATGACGTAGGTTGACGTTAATTCCTGGTCGGTTGCTAATATTAAACACCAGAAAACAGGTCTGAAGTTGCATCCTTTCACTCCGCTAAGTCTTGGCGGCGAGTGTCGGGATTTGACTGTTTGGATATATTGATGCACGCGAGAACTGGAGAGATCAGGCCGTGGGTGCAAGTAAATTGACTCGACATGTCAGAACGCGTCAGCTAGTTTGGAATGATTTGCGGAGGAGGAGTCCCTTGCGAAAGACAGGCAATGATGAACCACGAAGGATGGACAAGGCAAAGTGATGGCGATGAAAGATGAAAGATGAGGCCGAAGAAAGTGGGATGGTGATGTAATCACATTACTGTACGGGTCACGCTTTGCGCATAGAAACGGCCCGTCGGTCTCGTATGTACGGTACGTATCGTATGGCAGCTCCGTCGGCCAAACTTCCACGTCGCTTCCTTCACATCCGATCGTCGTACCTCGACTTTTGCTGGAGGACAGGAGAACACGGGTCGTGTCGTTGACAGGTCAATTGCAGTTCTCAGACTCAGGTCCTATCGGTTAGTCAACATGGACCAGAGCTATAAAGCTCGAAAAGAGGCCTTCGTGTCGAATCTGGCCGGGGGAAACATTCTGGAGATCAATGCCGTCACTCTGGTAGCTCCTGTGGGTGGCCCCGTCCAATTGCTTGTTATCGCTTATACTGATGTTGGATTTCACTCCTCGATTAGGCTTCGGTACTCCTATGGTCGGTACTCCAGTCGCGCCTGTCCTTCTTCAACCCGTACGGTGGCCCAGCACTAGTCGCCGACTTCTTGCTCAATGTTTTGGCAATCTTATTTGCAACCACCATCTATGCGGCGGCGCCATGGACTCTGAACATTCTCCTCGTATCCCCCGCCCTCCTGCTACTATTCATATCGCCGGCGCCTCGTACCCAACAAAAGGCGAAACCGCCAGCCAAGAAGAGCTCCAGCCATGTGATCGATACGCCCGCGTCTCTTCCCATGCACCCGTTCCTCACGACATACCGGGCTGCGATGATGATTGTCACCTGTGTCGCTATACTAGCCGTCGATTTTCCCATCTTTCCTCGCAGGTTCGCTAAGGTCGAAAACTGGGGCACGTCGCTGATGGATTTGGGCGTTGGATCATTTGTGTTTTCGGGGGGCGTGGTTTCCGCTCGTTCCTTGCTTAAAGGCCGGACGAGTACTGCCACAAAGCCACCGCTATTCCGGAGGTTGACTGCCTCTTTCCGTCATTCAATTCCCCTGCTCGTGCTCGGTTTGATACGACTGTACAGTGTTAAGGGTCTTGACTACGCCGAACATGTCACGGAGTACGGTGTCCATTGGAATTTCTTTTTCACGCTGGGCCTGCTACCCCCGTTCGTCGAGATCTTTGATGGCCTAGCTACCTTTGTCCCCTCGTACGAGCTTCTTGCGCTGGGGGTTGCAGCCTTGTATCAAGTGGTGCTCGAGTCTACAGACTTGAAGGGCTATATTCTTGTTTCCCCGCGCGGTCCGGATCTTTTTTCGAAGAACCGAGAGGGCATCTTTTCCTTCTTAGGGTATCTGGCCATTTTCCTGGCCGGTCGTGCTGTTGGTGTTCGTGTCATTCCCCGTGGGACGTCCGCTTCAAAGTCGCCGAAGCAAGCCCGCAAGGACTTACTGATCAGTCTGGGGGTCCAGAGTCTCGTTTGGATCGGACTATTCACGCTGAACTCCACATATGCGTTTGGATACGGAGCCAATATCCCCGTCTCACGCCGCCTGGCCAACCTCCCTTATGTCCTCTGGGTGTCTGCCTTCAATATTGGTCAACTTTTCCTATTCTGCAGCGTGGAGACTGTATTCTTCCCCTTTGTCCATCGGGAAACTGAAAAAAGTGGGGAGGCTGAGCGCGTGTCTCTGGCGACCAGTCGGATTATGGCTGCGTTCAACAAAAATGGGCTTGCCATTTTTTTGGTGGCAAATCTCCTGACGGGGGCTGTCAATCTGAGCATCCCTACGCTTGACGTCAACACAGTGCAGAGCATGGCGATCCTTGTCGCATATGCCGCGGTTATCACGGGCGTTGCGTTGGCCATGCAAAAGGCGAACATTAAGCTGGTTCTGTGAAGGAGCCAAGAGCCATGTCGTTGGATTAGTGTATATATAATGTATGATTTAAAATAGTATTATTTTTCTCGAATTCTCCGCCAACAACAATGTGGATCTCGTGGCGGGGGCGATTGACCGGAGGCAGTCCAAAGAACGCGAAGCTTTGGCAGTTGAACCGAGGCATCATGCGCCATCAGGTGACTCCCCCACTCGTATCCTCATCGACTTGCGACGGATTGTATTCTCCTTCCTTCTCTCTCCCTCCAACTATCTCAATCGCAAAGCCATCATGAGTGCAAACACCGGCGAACCACAGTTCTTCCACTATCCGGAGGTCCGCCAGGGACCGTCCGCGCCGTACCAGAACGAAGACCAGTCGATTCCTGTTTTTCGCGGCACTCCCTTGGCTATTGGCGCTGCCCTGTGAGGACTGAGTTTTTCTTGCCAACTTTAACCTTGGCCTTTCGCGTGGTGCGCCTGCTGACCTCGTCGACTCATCTCTCCGATTTAGAATTCATTCCGTGGGGTTTATCCAGAGTTACTTTTGGCGCAATGCCGGCTTTGACGTCGTTCGCGAAGTTCCGCAGCTCCAGCAGTATTCCGCCCGTTACGACCCTACCGTCATTCCGATTCACGATGCCAACGCCTCTCCTCGCTCCGATCTCCCCGTGCCGACGGAAAGACGCAAAGGACCTTCGGGCTATTACACTTCCGCCGATTACCATGCCCTCTTCAAGTCGGGGGAATTGACCCCGATCGCGGTCGCCGAGGCGCTTCTTCCTTTGATCCGCCGGGACGCAAAGCCCCCCGGCAAGCATTCAGTCGCGTTCTTAGAATCCAAGATAGATAAAGTTCGTGCCGCTGCAGAGGCCTCCACGAAGAGATACAAGGATGGCAAGCCCCTGGGTCCCTTGGACGGTGTTCCAGTGGCGATCAAAGACGAAGTACATATCGAAGGATACCGTCGGACGCTCGGGACCAAGTTGGACTTCAAAGGCGATTTCGAAGGTACCTCTTGGTGCGTGAAAAAATGGGAAGAGGCCGGCGCCATCGTCGTCGGAAAGACCACTATGCATGAGCTTGGTCTGGGTAAGCATTTCCCTCCGCTATACCTAGCCCACCGCAGACAGCTGACACACTCTAAATAGATACCAACAACAACAACCCCAATTACGGCACTCCGAGAAACCCCAGCAACCGCGATTACTACTGCGGAGGCTCTTCCGGAGGCTCTGGTTACGCCGTGGGTGCGGGCCTGGTGCCCATCGCCCTCGGCGCAGACGGAGGTGGCTCGATTCGTATCCCGTCCTCCTTCTGCGGAGTCTGGGGTCTCAAACCATCGCACGGGCGAGTGAGCGGTAGCCCGACTGTGTCGCTTGCGTCGACCGTCGGTGTCTACGGACCGATTGCCGCCAGCATCGACGATCTGGCTCTCGCCTACCGCATCATGGCCGCTCCCGCCCCGGTCGACGAGGATCCCATGTCCGCGGCCTTCCCAGACCCGCTCACCAGCATCTCCTCATCCGAAGCCCGGCCCAAGAACAAGACCATCGGCATCGTCCGCGAGTGGATCGACCGCGCCGAGCCCTCCGTCCGCGCCGTCTTCGACTCCTCCCTCGAGTTCTACCGCAAGCAGGGCTACAAGGTCATCAACATCAACATCCCCTACCTCCCCGAAGGCCAGCGCGCCCACGTCCTCACCATCATGACCGAAATCGCCTCGGGCCTCTCCCCGCACCAAATCAGCAACCTGACCGCCCCGAACAAGGTCCTCGTATCCATGGGCATGTGGCAGATCGCCGGCCAGGACTTCCTCGCCGCCCAACGTCTCCGCAACCTCCTCATGTCCCACCTCGCCCACCTCTTCCAATCCCACCCGGGCCTCCTCATCCTCTCCCCGACCACCCCGATCCCGGGCTGGAAGATCGGCGGCGACGCAGACCTCTCGCGCGGCCTGTCCGACGGCAAATCCTCCGTCCGCAACATGGAATACGTCTGGCTGGCCAACTTCACCGGCTGCCCCGCCATCAACATCCCCGCGGGCTACGCGCAGGACGGCAACCGCGTGCCCATCGGCGTCATGGCCATGGGCGAATGGGGCACCGAAGAAGACCTTATCGCGTTCGCCCGTGACGGCGAAGCTATCCTCGATCTTCCCCAGAACCAACCCTCCGCTGGTGCTGGTGCTGGTGCTGCAAACAAGATTGACGAACAGTCCTCCGGTCTGAAGATCCCGCAAGGCGAAGGTTCCCTATGGGAAGACATCATCGAAACGGCTACAGCAACAGCCGCAGCCCCAGAAAATTCAACACGGTAGTTAAACCATCTAGGTCTCTCTATCCGCCCAACTGGCTTGGGTCGAGGAGATCTTTCATGCATTCAATCAATCAATCGATTGATCGATTGGTTGCGTGTGCGTGTACTTTCTGTCTGTTGCTTTCAATCTCCATTATTGAATCCATAGCGTACAGAGCCCAAGATCGAATGTGTGATTGAATGAGTGTGCATGGCTGGCCTGATTCCTATCTCCTTTCTTTTCAGTGTCTTCTAAATTCCTACTGGTACTTCTTTTTTTTAATTCCAATCTTACTTTCCCTCTCATTACAATCAGTTGTTGGGCCAAATTGAATGGCTATCTATCTTTACTCAGCTCGTAAGTTGCCTACGAGGTCAAACACCAACGTGGAATATCGCACCCATTTTCCAGAAAACATCGACAGCAATACTACGAGCCATTGACTAGATAGTCTAAACACCGAAACCTGGCAGTTTGGCATCGTCAGGATAACACAGCCCGACTAGAAATATATTACCTCGGAGGTTCGGTCTCATAAACTGATATCAGCAGTTAGGGAACTTGCGCCCTCGCTCGACGTCGACATGAAGCGTAAACATCATAAAATAAAAGATAGAAGAACAGCGATCTTCCGATCGAAACGAATCCAACACATACCACCCCTGGTCTACTAACGTACATAAAGAGGATGCACAAATACAAGAAAGAAACAATCAAGTCATAATGATGCAAACAGGCAATAACATTCAGCATACCAATCGTACTCAGCCATCCACCCATGATAAACATAAAATAAAAGTTCTAGCAAACAAACATAACAAGGAACTGTGATGATGAAATCGGCAGTGATAGGTAAGGAAGGAGCATTGGTGTATCATCGAGGGTGTTGACAAAGAAAAACAATATGTGGGCCAATGCAAAGGATGCGTTGGCACTATGGCACTGTTTTCCCACGCGGATTTGTCGTGCTGCGATAGATAGCAAGTTCAGGTCGATAGGTGATAGAATATAGGATGGAAGTAATAGCTCGTCGCAACGGCATAATGCTCTTCGAGAATTGAAGACCAGGGAGTCTCCGACAAGATATCCGATTCGAGATCGATAGTCGAGCAAGGAAAAGGATGCGGTTCCCAGATACCACAGAGACTCACGAAGCCCAGAGGAGGAAAAGTCGAAAGCCTCAGCAATCTGGAATTTGCGGTTGATGTTCATGCGGCCGAGTCTAAATGAGAATTTCCTCACCACGGCGGGGAACGCAGACCAGGCACCCTAGATCCTCAAAGTTTGCCCTTACATCGAATTGACTCCATATCCGATCCACAACACACTCTTTCTCGTTGATATCATCCTTAATGTGAATGGGGTAGATGTGCAGCCCTACCAAAGGTTTCTCCTGCTCCGACCACCCAATGCCGTCGTCTTCATCAGCAACAAGGGAGCTGCTTGAGTTTTCTATCAATACGACCGGGCTTGTTTTGCTTTTGGTCTGAGACCTTGTACACACTCTGCTGCTGGAAGGTTCGTCCGCGGCCCCTTCTCCGGTTGGCGACGGGCTACGCTTGCGTTTGCGGTCTGCCCCATGCTTCAATTTGGTAACTAATTGGGCCAAAACCTTGAGTTCGGCTATCAAGTGGCGTGGGTTAAGATGGCCGTATAAGTTCTCGTCCTTGACGGAGTCATCGTAAGAACACTCGATGAAGATCGCGCGCAAAGCGCCGGAAATAATCTTCGGCGCGGCCATTTCCCAGACACGCCGGTTGCGCGGATAGGCCGACACCGAGTCCGGCTCAACGTCCCCGAAGATTATAATTTCTTTGCCTGAAGAACGGTCACGAATGAAGAACGCCGAGCTTTCGACCATCTCAGGTACTTCCCGAGGGGACCGCGAAGATGGCGCTTGTCCTGGTGCAGGTGAGAGTGACGGCACGAAGGGCCTGCCCGTAAAGGAATTGGTCAGCTCTGAAGAGATATAGACTCGATCAACTTACGTTGGGTCATCTAGCTGGGACATTGTGCGGTCTGCTGACGACGGCATGCTCTGGCGAACGGAATGCATATCAGGCGTTGGCGTGGTATCTTGTTGCTGATGCTCCAGTTTGCGTCGCCCATGACTTACGGCAAAACACTGAGTCATCAATCCCTCGCAAGCGCGTACATAGCCCCTCTCCTCATCTCGGCTGCCCCCTTCCGCCAAGCGTTGAAAAGTAAAAAGTCCTGCCCCATCATCTTCGTCGGTGAGATTTGGCCATATTACCCCATTGAATATGTGATCTTTGAAGGCGGCGATGACTGACGGTAAAGCAGCCAGACGTTTGGGACGGTTTGAGGCTTCCAGAATCTGGGAGTTTAAGACAAAACCCGAGATATGGTCAAGATGGGCATGCGTGACTAGGACGGTCCCGACAGTCTCTCGTAGGATGTGTGCAGCATTCGCCTTGGCTGTTTTGTGAGGCATAGCCATGCCGGCAAATGGTCCATTGTCGCCTTCGGACTCTAGAACGTACTTTATCCCACACAGAAGGGTGCCAGCATCGACTGCAATTATCGAATCAGGGCCCCAGTTGGTAGAGGTCGATCGAACCAGCATCCCAGTAACGCTATCTTCCCATGGGCCTCCTGATTGTCCCTTTTGAGACAGGTCAGCAATTATCATGTTTGTCAAATGTCGGATCCCGAAACACGCGCAAGAGAGAAAGCCACTTCGCTCAGGAGAACCAAACGAAGAGCCCGAGTGGGTATCGTTACAGAAACATGGGGAATCATGGGAGGGTAGAAAGCGAATCATGGTAAACGGGAGGGGCGATCAAAAACAAAAAGGTGACGTGTAGGTGGACACGAACGGCCAAGACCTACCAAGACAATCACTTGCAAGCCTGCATCTGATTTTCCTGATGCAGGATCCGTCTCAGTTTTGGCTCCTCCAGCCTTGGATGCCGACTTGGTTTCATCCGCCACTCCCTCGCCCGTTGGATTCATATTGTGGAGCAGAATTAGGGAAGACCAAAAGTATAGACAGCCTCTCGGCAAAATGCTCCGACCAGAGACACCTAGAAGGCTTCCTTTGTCTCCTTGTCTTATAAACAATAGCAGGGTCAAGGATTTGTTGGCGTGAGAAATATGATGTATTTGTAGACCCCGAACAACCACCGCAGGTGATTACAGTTTTGAGGGATGAAAAGAAAAGATATTGGTGAGAATCCACCTGACTGGTAGCGTCCTTGTTGCTTGTATGTTGTTGTCAGGGGAAGAACAAAAAGAAGGACGAACAGCATTGAGGCCGCACGTGCTGAAAAAGGCTTCAGCAGGCGATTCGCAGCTGCTTCAAAGCCAGCGCGTGATGGCTTCGGTCTGGGGAAGGGAAAGAACGGCTGGGCACAGGCGAGCAGGGAAAGAGGCCTTAGCGGACGGTTGTGACAGTCTAGTGTCACCACCACCACCAAAACTCAACATGGATCGCCGAGAAGAAGGGATTCCAGAAGGAATGGAATGCCAGATCGATGCCTATCTTCGTATGTTTCTGTTTTTATTTTATTTTTTTGTTTTTTTCCTTCTTCGTCTTGATTGGCACTCCACAAGACGCCAGGTCAATGGCCCAATTATCGGATGTGGAGGATGATTTCTCGACAAGGTCAAAACCAATCGTCGAAGGCTGATTCTGGCTTCTGCGCAACTGGAAGTAGCTCGAAGATGCTATTCCCCCAACCACCCGGTCATGCATCCACTCACTCAACTCATTCACTGTGGATTTAATCGGCGGATCTATGGCCAAGGTGGCTGGTGGGCCCCGATCGGGAAGGGCATTAAGTGGACAAGGCAGAAGTCGGGAGGCGTTGTGAGAGATCCAATTGTCCACCTTTTGGAAGTTGAACAGAGAAAGAAAAGGAGAGGATACTAGATATATATATGGATTCCCCGGGCTTTAAAAAGGCGGAGAATGGAAAAGTGGGTAGGGATTGGGGCAGAGAGATCGCGCAGCCGTACAGTACACGTTAATTAATTGGTTGGCCAATAAAGAAGAAATTGAAGGCAGGGAAGCAGGGGCAATTAACGAAGGATCGCGCTAGCTGGGGCCAGATGGCAATGGTCGGTTCGAAGAGTAAGCAGGCCATGCCTTTGTTACTCGAGCGAACCATGATCGTCGAAGCTCCGGAAGAGGCCAAATGTCGCAGTCACAAAGAGTCGGAAAGATCCAAAAAGCCCGTCGTGCGGAGAGATGACGTAAGTATCGTCACCTGAGCCTTATCGTCCTTATCGATAGACTGGCCTATTGTTATCGTCACACCGCTGATTCTATCTACTATAGACGAGGTCACTACGGAGTACTCCGTACACAAGTCTCGATTTTCCGGAGAAAGCACGTATGCATGGTGGTATTCCTGATAATAGAAAGGGGATATCATTCGCTGAGACTTCCAGATTCCGTATTTCATTCTGGAATTAGGTCGTTCTCCAAACGCCGTGTAGTTCAAATGGATATGGGTTTGGGTTCGAGTGTCGTATAGCCCATAGCTTTCAAGCTGAAGGGAACGCACCGATCCGGGAAAGAAACATATGGGAAACATGAGAAAGGGAAGAAAAAAAAAGAGCCAGTCCCTATATACGTAAAAGAGTCATCACTGCCACTGTCCCGTGGCATACCGCCTCCCATGAAAAGTTCGACCGTGAAAACTCGCCCGTTAAAACGCCAACCCCAACCGCTAAAATCAAGGACAGAAATGATATCAACATGGTGGACGGCTCGCATGCCTATAAACACAAGGGGACCTCGCCAATACCAAGAAAGGGGGTCGAAGAAGATAAAACATGAGGGGAATGTTAAGTGGGATTTAATGATTTTCGTCCGTGGCATTTGCACCACGGGTATGGTCTGCATTACCAACGGCGGCATCGTAGCTGGGTATGGGCGGCTGATCTTGTCGTGAGATTTCCTCGCTGTTGCGCGGACTCCCATCCGCACTAGAATAATCCGGGGGAGGGGCCTGGTCGGCATCGTCGCCGTCGTGCGGGTTCAGTAGCGGATCCTGCTCGCCATCTCCATTTGTCCGACTGGAACCCTCTCCGGCATCCTCATTGGAAGGCACATGGGCTAGTTGGGCGAGCGAGATATCGGTTGGGGATCGCACCGGGCCAGGACTGACAGAGGGTGCAATTCGAAGGGTTGAGCTGGTTCGTGCGTTGCCAGCGTCTTGGTACACACGGTGGGAGATCTGCGCAGCACTCTCGCGACCAGACTCGAGTAGAATACTGCCTTGCTCGCTTCCATATGGTGGAGGAGGAGCTAGACTACCAGTCATGGGAGCCAGACCCCATTTCTTGACGTTCGCTTCGATGAACACAAATCCCATCTGCCCGAAATTGACGTGGACAGCACACGGTCCATTCGCACCGACCGTGGGGAAGAAATTCTGCGCCTTCTGACCATGGACAACATCTTCGAGTTTCTTTCCGTTGCGGGTGAAAAAGATTGTACCCGATCGAGGCCGGTATCCGATTCCGACGACATCTCCTTGAGTGAGGTGTGGACCATACGGAGTGGACGCGAACGGTTGGTTGTATCTCCGGTGACCCGTGGACTGGTAGGCGACCGATGATTTGTGGAAACCTAGAGTGAGGACGGATTAGCGATCAGCACAACATTCCGGAGAACACAACTCGTGCACAGGAGACAGAGCGTACCAGGTAGTCTGAACAGCGGATAAGGTTTTGTACTCATGCCGATGCTGATAAGAGTGGCATCGGGCTTATCGTAGATCTTCGCCTCCCAATAGTAAACGTCGTTCTGCTTTGGAACGGGCAGGTTGGTCTGAACGCTGCATTCCGAATCGTAGAACTCGATTTCCGTCCGGGCCTCGACAAAGCAGTTGGCGATTTCCAGCTCCGGTTGGAATTCCCACGCCGATACCCCCTTCTCCTGGATCGCAAGAAACTGGGACAGCGAGATATCGGTCTGCATCGACTCGGGGGGGTTGGCTTCGACGAAGGCTACAGAATTCGAAATCAGCGAACCGCGCCACATCGGTGACTGCGCCTGTACTATTCCAAACTCACCTTTCGCTCTCAAGTACTCCGATCGCGACAGATCATCCATGGTTTCCAGCGCCTCCGACTCCTCCCGCAAGAAAGCCTGCTCATCGTCGAATTCACCGGGTCGGCCGATGCGATCCAAGATAATTCTACCACGTCGAGTATACTTGAAGAAGAAGAACACCGCCAGGACGACCACCGCGACAGCCGCAGAGCCAAAAGCGGAGAGGACGCCGATCAAGATGCCCTTGCCGGTCGAACTCGGCGTATTGACACTGGCGCTGACGATACCGCCATCTTGACTTCTAGCCGACATTGCCATACGGACAGGCTCGATGTTGGGGGCGACTTGGTCAGAGATGGCGGCGGGATGGTTGGCTTCTGCGACCGGGAGAACGGACGGTGTGCGGCTTATCACGGAAGTAGTGAGGGTGGTAGAGGGAGCATCCCAAAGGGCACCGGGCCCCGATGCTTCAGATCCCCGCATCGTTCATTGACTGGATTCGAAACGGAAGGTCGAGAGAGATCAATGTGTCGGGGGGGTATGGAATTAAAAGGTAAAATAATCACCGACCAAGGAGAAGGGAAGAGTGGCGGAGGATAAGGTGGGCAGGGGAGTGGGAAGGAGAGGGCGATGAGAAGGGGAGAAATCGGGCGAGAAGGAGGAAAATGACAGGACGGTAACTTACCAGACGGTCACGCCTCGATGTCATAATTACGGCGACGCTTCCGGGCGCTGCGTCCTGCGTTCAGATGTGCCATCCAATAATGCATTCTTGCCCAAAGTCAATCGGCTAATTCGGTAGGAGCATCGTCCCACATGCTTAATTATTAGAAGCTGAAAAGACCGGGCCATGCTTGTCGATCCAAAAATATTGCAGCGATGACAGAGTATAAAGTATTGCCGATAAATCCTACGGATCTGGGACAATCAGGCAATGACGACAGCCTAGGTAGTCTCACTTCAGGTAAGATAAATGTAATGATAAATACCGTACAGTACCAATACAGTGCCTTGAAATCGAGGACGTCCATATCTGCCTTGAGTGTCGCCGCCTTAACGGGCTTGGCAGAGGCGGACATCGTGTCTAGCGTTGAGAGTTGACCCTATCATCCTCATCAGGCTCTCTCACCTATCTTCCTTGACAGTTTGACCTGTTACTCGGTCTAAAACCCTTCCTCAGGAGAAGCTCCCTATAAACAGAAAGATGCATCTCTCCATGTCTCTCATCCCATCACTCCGTTAAACCACTCTTCCCTTACTTTGATCTATGCCTCCTTCGAGGGCTCAACTCCTGCCTTATACCCTTGTCGATAACATGGCCAACTATGGCAAACCCTGCTGCCACATGATCGAACATAAACCGCCAACTGGCAGTCGACTACGGGGTACGGAGTACCGCCAATTTGTTAAATCCCCGCTGATAGGATGTCTTGACTCATCCGCGGTACAAAGGAAAGGTATCATGGGGTTAGCTCAGCCAGGAATATGTGTTGTTCTAGCTCTTGAAGACTGTAGAACATGTTTGTACGCCAGCACTTGCTGTCCGTTTTCCTGCTGGTGCTATATCTTCCAGAAGTGCGGTGTCACAGTGTCACAGATTCCATACTGTGAAACTGCAGTTCTGTATGAATGGTTCACGCCCAACATGGCTCCTTGGGGTTTACTTGCTTTACCTGTCGTGATGCGACAAGTTCGGCTAACCAGAGGCGATTCTAATTCGTAGCTCTGGTGAAGAACGTCTTGAAGATGACATGTTGCTACAGCATTGTTTGATGAAATATTGACACTTACACTTGCCAGCATGATGATCCTACTTTTTAATAGTAAATAGAGGTTTCTGGCTGTATTTACTTAGGGTTTGGTGTACTTTGAGAAACCCATTGTTCGGCTCTGCTGAGCTGAGCTCGTTAACCGCCCGACGATCGAGTTCGTAGCTCAGTGGTATTTCAATATGAGTACGTAAATCTGACAAATTGACCTACTTATAGCAACTGTCAGGCCAAAACGTTAGATAGATATTTAGAGACTCCTGCAAGGATCATCCTGAACGGGACAAGCTACTTGAAACGACCATGTCGAGCATGTTAGGCGCCTTCATAATTTCCGTAGCTCAGTGGTAGATTCCGTCGGAGGATTGAAGCTTGACATGGCACTCCATGGAAGAAAGACCTGCCGGTGCACCAACCAGCCCACTACTTATGAAGTAACAGTAGCATTTAGATATCAGCTCTATATTCATCTGCATTTAAGGCTTAATATCACCAGTAGTTTACGATGGAAATAGAATGGTTTAACTGTTTGCTCTCGTAAACTATATCGGTAGATTACTTAATCACGGAGCCTAACTAGTTATCGCCGAACCCAGGCAGCGCTGTATCACTTCCATCTCCCTGCACTCCTTCCCTCCATGCCCCCTTTCTACCTCATCCTGTCTTGATTTTCTACAGTCATATAAACTTATCCCTGGTCTGTATTTTTATCGGGTCAATTGTATGTCTATCCCCATATCGTGAGAAACAAAATGGGTGTCCGACCTTGTTTACCATCTTCTGTTATCGGCCCGGATACCGCCTGCGATATCCGAATCTCGGTGACAGGCAACGAATGCGACAAATACCCAGGTAAGGCACTACATATTCCCCTTCGCCTCGCCTTTCACCCCCTCATACAGCGATGATGTCGACCTGAAAACTAACCTCCGTTCGCCTACAGCCAAGTCGCACGCGCGCAAGACGGCGCTGAAACTCGGTGCCTCCTCCGGCCTGATCTACCTCGCCGGCCAACCCACCATCAACTGGGGCGACTCGGACCAACCGCGAACCTTCCGACAAAGGCGTTACTTCTACTATCTCACCGGTGCCGACGAGGCTGACTGCCATGTCACCTACGATATCCAAAATGACCTCCTTACCCTCTACGTGCCGGACTTCGACCTGCATCGCGCTATCTGGATGGGTCCCACGCTGACCGTGGACGAGGCTTTGCGGCGCTACGACGTCGACCGCGTGCGCTACCATGCGTCCCTGTCTGACGATATTCAGTCCTGGGCGCGGAAGTCCAGCCATACCAACAACCCCATCTATATCCTCCACGAGACGCAGAAACCCGCGCTTCCAAATACCAGCAGCGGCATCCGGTATAGCCATGACCGTCTTCTCCCGGCCATGAACGTAGCGCGTATGGTCAAAGACGAATACGAGATTCGGATGATCCGACATGCGAATAAGATCTCGGGGCTGGCGCATCGCAAGATCCTAGAGAACATTTACAAGATGAAGAACGAGACGGAGATCGAGGGCCTGTTTCTAGATACGTGCGTGTCGCACGGCGCGAAGAACCAATCCTACGAGATCATCGCCGGGTCAGGAGAGAATGCCGCCGTGCTGCACTACGTCAAGAACGACGAGCCCCTGCACGGAAGACAGCTGGTCTGTCTAGACGCGGGGGCCGAATGGAACTGCTACGCCAGCGACGTCACGCGGACCATTCCCCTGCCAGGGTCAGGGTCAGGGTCGTCGTCGTCATCAGACTGGCCCAGCGAACGCGCCAAAGCCATCTACGAGATCGTCGAAGACATCCAAGAACGCTGCATCAAGCTCTCAAAGGAAGGCTCCAGCTTTGCACTCTTACAGAAAGTCGCCCGATTCTACACCGTCAAGGGACTCCGTCGTCTCGGGGTCCTCCGCGGCGACGACATCAACGAGATCCTCGCATCGGGGGCATCCAATATCTTCTTCCCGCACGGGCTCGGCCACCACGTCGGTCTCGAAGTCCACGACGTCACGCAAACCTCGAACACCGCGCAAGACCGCTCCAGTATCAAGCAATGGGGTGGGCGCTCGTTCGTGCCGCCCATCCCCTGCAGCAACGAACATAGTAGTACATTGACCTCTTCTTCACAACCCGACGCCTTCGAAGAAGGCATGATCATCACCGTCGAACCTGGTATCTACTTCTCTCGTCTGGCTCTGCGGAATGCCCGTACCTTGCCTTTGGCCAAGTATATCAACTTCGAGGAGGCGGAGAAGTATATTCCCGTGGGGGGCGTCCGGATCGAAGACGACCTGTTGATCACCAAGGGCGGGCCGGCGAATCTGACGACGGCGCCCAAGGGGCAGGAGATGTTAGATATTCTCCGTCGCGGGATTCGAAATTGATCCCTTGATTGGGCAGTTCTTCAATTGTTTCTCATGCGATACCAGCTAGCTAGTCTCTATTTTTTTCTTAATTATTCTTTAGTGTAGAGGTTTTGTACCTATATTAGGAATAGATATCCTGTTCAACACAAGAAACGGTGATATACGGTATACTGAATTACACTAGCAGGACTCTCCAAGTCCAAGACTACACACGGAAAGATAAAACACAAACCGAAACAAAAGATCTTCCCTAACTAGAAAAATCTATTGAAAACAAGGTTCTTTAAGAAAAAAAATCTAGCGACAGCAAATATAATACACCAAAGTAGTTTTCACGTCACATCACGACACTTGTTAAGTAAGAAATCTATTTGGCGATCTCAACACCACCAGTGACGTTCAAGAGACGCTTGATGTCACCGTAGATGGCGAACTGACCGGCAGTCAGGGTACCGACCATGAACAGACGGGCACCAATACCGGCGTAAGAGCCACGGAAGCCAAGCTCCTTTCCGATCTTGAACAGACGGGAGACGGTACCCTCGCCGGGCTCACCGGGGGTCTTGTTGATCTTGGAGAGCATGGTGTCAGCGGGCTGGGAGACGAGAGCGGCGGCGAAACCGGCGATGAGACCGGAACCAAGGTTGACGGCGGTCTTGGTGCCGTCGGAAGCGGTGTTCTTGTCGACGAAGTTGTAGGCAGCCTCGGAGACCTTCTCGAAGACGACGAACTTGGACATGGTGTAGGGGACCCTGGGGTGGAGTACGTTAGATGCCATGTTTCCCTCGAGTTGATTGTGAGATTGGACTTACTGCTTGAAGAGAATGGGACCGAATCCAGAGTAGAAAGCACCGATACCCTCGTTCTTGAGGATCTTACCGAAACCGCTCAGGAGACCGGAGGCGAAAGTGGGCTGAGAGACGAGACGGATACGGGTGGCTTCCAGAGGGCAGAGGGCGATATCAGCGAAGAATTCGGCGGTAGCGGACGAGGCGAGGTAGACGGCGGTGCGGTTGTTGGAGGCAGTCTCGTATCCGAGCTGGTTGATCCACTGCTGCTTGAAGAACTCGTAACCTCCGAACTTGAAGGCACCCTGGAGGAAGTAACCGGCGGCGGTAGGACCGAAACCAGTCAGGAGAGCGCCAGCACCCTCGTTGGCAATGACCTGGCGGAAACCACCGAGCATACCCCGGTTGTAGGTGACGGGGTCAAGCTGGATACGGGTCTTGACGCTGAAGAGGACGGAAAGGCATGTCAGCAAGATGGCAAACACCTTGTCATTGTGTTTACGTGGGATTCAATGGCTGGTGTAGTTCGTGATGATTTTTTTTTGAAAGGCAAGGCGCGCAGGGAGAAGGACCCGGATCGGAATCACGCGCGTTTCAAGGCGATCAATGCGACGAGGGCGATGACGAGGGCGATAAGACTTACACATCGACGGGAGTCAGAGCACCGTGGGTGACGGAGCAGCAGACAGCACCAGCGAAGGCGAACTTGGAGTAGAGCTGAAGGCCGCTGGGGGTGGCAGGGGGAGCGACGGCAGCCTTAGCGGCCTCCACGGGGGAGTTGTTCGTGGCGGACATTATTATAGATGTGTATATGTGCTCTAAACACTAAGAAAGAAAGAAAAAGAGGGAAGAGAGGAGAGTGGGGGGGGGAGAGGAAGAGCAAGCAATTGAAGCTTTGCAGAGTTTGGGATGGGAGAGAAAACGAGGCAGTTAGACCGGGAAGGAGATTTGAAAGGGATGGCTCGGCTCGACTGGCACTAGCGGCTCCGATCCCGAAAACTTTTCGCCTGCCAATGCGCTTGCCACCGTTAACTCCGATCGTCCGGTCAACCACTGAACTCGTGAACTGTCGACAATGAGCGCTTCGAACATTGCTAACTTGCAGAGTATGAGATTGAGTACAGAGTATCTGCGTTGATACTGCCAGATGACAGGATCATTTATGTTCCTTGCTATTTGCTACTCCTGGACACATACTGATCCAACCGCCCGCTGGTATACCCTCGAGCCGAAAGCATCCTACACCGTACAGCATTACACCCGACTAGGTACCTACGGTGTACGGTCGCTGGCTTGTCCGGAGACCAGATGCGCCGTCATGATTGACATCATCGAAGATCTGATATTGAAGACCCAGCGGCCTTTCTCAGAATGCAACGGTTCTGGCCTCAGGCAGCAGCAGAGCCCTACCGTACGGAATACAGAGAACAGACTACTCCGTTAACAGTGTTCTCTGAGTCTCTCCGTTACTAGAGACTTCACAGACAGGCGAAAATGATATCACATCCGACCGCAAATTGCTCATTTCTGCCCGGAATCGCGGTGGATTCGTGCCTTGGATGGATACCTCAGGCGAAAACCTTATTCTGCACCCGTTGATTGGTGGATTGTCGCGGTCTTCCTCCGCGGCTTCCGATCGATTATTTATTATTTTATTATCTTAGTGAATCTATTCTATTTATTTATAGACTACATCTACATTTGACAATCTAGTGGTTCTGTCTATAAAGACAGCTATACGAATCCATTTGCATGAAAGATCTAATGCCTCGTTGGAAAGACTGGACAGGAAGAATGTCGCCAATCCAAATAAACGGTTTCCTCCCTTACAGCTCCATCCCAGCTATGGCCGCAAACACAGCCCTTCCTTGCTGGCAAAAAAAGACAGGTACCTGCCCCCGTGTCACATAGCCTGCAGACAACGAAGTAGGCAGGATATTGCAAAGCCACCGCGACAGGAAAGCCAGCATGCAACACACGTCAGACACTCGATAGATCCGTTACTTTTAAAAAAACTTTGACGAGGCCTGACGCGCGCTTCCGTCATTATATAACAAACTTATCGGGACTTCAACCTTCAGTACTTTCTTTCAGATTCTGGCTCCAGTAAAATTCTAGACTTGAAATATATGATATATTTTCTCGGCAGTTCAATGCTAGGTTTCCTTCAGTGCCTTTATCCGGGCAGACGGACAAGACAAAAATGGAAGGAGATTGAGGGTGAGCAATCTATCTTTCGTGCTCATTACCAAAAAATCGTTGTCTGAACCTCTAACGATGCACCAGAAAAAGCAGAGAATCTGGAGAAGCTCCCATCTTGGGACACCCCAGACAATCTACTCATGATGCAAGCCTTCGAATGGCACGTCCCGAATGACAAGGGACACTGGCGCCGTCTTGAACAAGCTCTGCCCGATTTGAAGGCCATCGGAGTCGACAACATATGGATCCCGCCGGGCTGTAAACCGATGAATCCCGCAGGCAACGGATACGACATCTATGACCTCTACGATATCGGGGAGTTCGACCAAAAAGGCTCGCGGGCGACCAAATGGGGTACGAAGGAAGAACTCCAGTCGCTGTTGGCTTGCGCCCAGGAACTCCATATCGGGGTGTATTGGGATGCTGTGCTCAATCACAAGGCCGGTGCAGACTATACGGAACAGTTCGCCGCTGCGAGAGTGGACCCACGAAGTAAGCCTGCTTGCATTCGACGCAGACGTGTAAAAGTTCGTTGATCTTTTAACCGCGAATATAACAGATCGAGACGTCGAGATCGCACAGCCGGATCTGGTTGAAGGCTGGACCGGGTTCGAGTTCCCAGGCCGTTCGGAGACGTATAGCTCCATGAAATATTCGTGGCATCACTTCAGTGGTGTAGACTGGGACCAAATGCACAGGCGAAACGGGATCTACAAGATCCTTGGGCCTAATAAAGGGTGGGCCGACGATGTCAGTAAGGAACTCGGTAACTATGACTTTCTCATGTTTGCCGACTTGGATTATGCCGATCCGGAAGTCCAAGATGATGTTCTCAACTGGGCTACATGGATTGCCTCTCAGTTGCCTCTCAGTGGCATGAGGCTCGACGCTGCTAAGCACTACTCCTCGGGTTTCCAGACGATATTGGTTGATCACCTTCGGGCGACCTTTGGACCTCTTTTTTTCGTGGTGGCGGAGTATTGGAAGGGCGAGGTTGAGCCGTTGCTGGAATACCTAGAACAGACAGAATATAAAACGTCGTTGTTTGATGCGCCGTTGGTTGAGCGCTTCTCAAGTACGTCTTTGACGAGAAAGGCTGACCTTCGTGACATCTTCGATGGTACTTTGGTTGAATGTCAACCGTCGCACGCAGTTGTAAGTCATCTACCGCATCGAATAGGTAGTCTTGAGATACTGATTTGTTTCACAGACCTTTGTAATGAACCACGACACTGTAAGAGATACGCTGTCCCTAAGCTTCACTCTAGCTAATCACCTCGCAGCAACCAGGGCAGTCCCTAGAGGTATGACAAGCTCCGATGTTCTCTGTTCAATCTTCCCAATCTAACATATCTTGATAGGCACCAATCGCATCGTTCTTCAAACCCTTAGCATATTCCCTGATCTTATTACGGGATACAGGACTACCGTGTCTCTTTTATGGGGATCTCTATGGCATTGGCAAGGACGTCGACGACCCAATGACCCCATCCTGTGGAGGCCGACTCCCGATCCTGGCTAAAGCCCGAAAGTTGTATGCATACGGGGAGCAGCAAGACTACTTTGACCAGCCTAATTGCATTGGTTTGTCCGATTCCATCCCAAGCAGTATGTACCCCCTACTAATACCCCCCAGGGTTCGTTCGATACGGTAACTTATATCACCCGGACGGACTTGCCTGTGTCATGAGCAATTCCGGTTCCTCCAAAAAACGCATGTATGTTGGTCGGCGCCATGCGCGTGAAAAATGGACCGATATATTGGGATGGCACACGAAGGTCGTCACCATTGATAAACACGGCTACGGCGTTTTCCCTGTATCTTCGATGAGTGTCGGAGTCTGGGTGAACTCGCTGGCAAAGGGACGGGATGGGTTAGAAGCGAAGTTGTAAGTTTTCCCTTTTCTATCACTGAAGTTGTAGCTGACTGAAGATATGGTATAGTGATGAAAAGATCTATGGTCGTTGATTAAGCCTTGGGGTTTGGACTGCCACGAAAGTGCTTGGTATACACACAATGGTTTCTGTTTAGAACTCTTTATGACTTGAGCCAATTAGAGATTTCTTTCTTACAAATCTCTGTTTAACTCGTCATGTAAATATTCTTTCAGGTACATGCGGCGCCGCCAGCCGAGCGCTCACCGTTTGCTCCTCTTTCATTATCGCAACGCCTCTTCAAACACATCACAGAACCCTTCTTCCTATATAAAGCTTCTTCAGATCATGTCAAATTCTTACTTTCAATTTTCTACAATAGCTACCGTGTATCGATTTCAATACATTCTATTAGGCTAAACACCCGCGGAACACGTGATAGCGAGGCTGTGAGGTCTAGATCTACCTGGCCCTATTATCCCTCGACCAGAATAAATTCCAGCTAATATCTGACACATCCACGGTCGGTTTGAGACACCTAAAAATGGAATTCTTCCTTTCCCCGGATTTCCCGTCCCACGTGGAGGACCTGATGCGCCAAAACCACGTGCCTGGCCTTTCCATCGCCGTCGTTCAGAACAACAAAGTCGCTTCGGCAGGCTACGGACAAGCATCGATCGAGCCGCCGGTGCCATGCACGGCAGACACTCTATTCGATATTGCGTCGTCTTCGAAATCGCTGACTGCTGCCTCCGTCGGATTGCTGGTCGACGATGGAGCCTATCCCGAGATCCAATACGATGCTACCATGTCCAGTCTGCTGCCGGATGACTTCGTTATGCCCAGCGCTGAGTATACGGACGGTGTCACATTGGAAGACATATTGAGTCATAGATCTGGCATGGCGCCGTAAGTACATTGTACCACTTCCCCCTCAAAGATCAGCCCTAATTGGTAATCACAGTCACGACAACTCATCCATGAGCGTACGAGCCGCGCAGCCCGACAACGCACGATCCGTTACGCGGAATCTGCGCAACCTCCCCGTGGCGGCGCCCATCCGCGCGCGATATCTCTATTGCAATTTGATGTACACCGTGGCGACGCATCTCATCGAGGTGAAAACCAATCAGCCCTTTTCGGATTTCCTACAACAGCGCTTTTTCAGTCCCCTCGATATGCATTCGACTAGTCTCCAGCCTGGAAGCGCTCGAGCAAAGGGCCATGGAGACCGCATCGCGACCGGGTACTGTTGGGATAAGGAGTCAGCGACCTACCACGGATTCCAAAGCCCAGATTGTCCGGAAGCCCAAGGCGCGGGGTCTGTTATCAGCAGCGCCAGTGACTTGATCAAATGGGTCAAGGCTCTGATGAATCGTGAAGGGCCGATCACTGAGCGCATATACCAGGGTCTGGTTCGCATGCGCTCCATCATGAATCCCACGGGGAGGAGATTGAAACCGCATACATCGCCGGCTCTGTATGCTGCCGGGCTAGAGGTGTATTACTATCGAGGCCATTTGGTGGTCGGACATATTGGAGTGGTGCCGGGATTCTCTGGCCGGTTCTTTTTCCTTCCTGATTTTGACTTTGGGGCTGTTATTTTGGGAAACGCAGAGGGGGCTGGCCCAGTTGGTACGGTGCTAGCTCGAGAGCTGATCGATACTCTGCTTAAGATCCCGGAGGTTGAACGGCCGCGACTGGCGACGCCGGGTAACAATACAGGCGGTGCGAATGCGAAGAAACAAGTACCAAGTCGATCACGCAATGCAGGGAAGAAAAACAAAGCGACAAGCAAAGCAAAGACTGAAAGGCGCGACAAACCACAGCCACAAGGGATGCCTCTCCGGGCCTACGTTGGCACGTATCGACATCCTGGCTATCACGAACTGACGGTTGAGATCAAGGACGAGAGGCTCTTCATCGACGCGACGGATCGGTCGTTTGGATTTACACTCTCGTTTGAGCATCTGGCCGATGGAATCGAATACATTGCCCATCTGAGCGATTTTCTAGAGGGAGGAGATGAGCCACTTTCAGCTGAGTTTGCCGTTGAGGAAGGCCGAGTAGTCAGGTTGGGACTGCATTTAGAAATGGCGTTGAAGGAATTGATTTGGTTCGATAAAGTCTAGAGCGATCAATGGAGAGAAATCTAGACCACCATCTTTGGAAGTACTGCCCGGTTGAATACGCAAATAGATGAAGCATTTCCCATCAAATTAGAGATATTGTCAGCTAAAGAATTCGGCCGTCATCGTACATCGAGCCTCGCAGATCGATTACGCAAACCCCAACACCTGCACTGTAAACCGTACAACGTACTCCGTTGGTTGTGTGATGTCGAGCGCATCTCAATCATAAAAATAGAAGTCCTGGTTCCTGGTTCAACAGACATGACTCGGATACTCGGTGCATTCCCCATTCAGATGGTCGCAGAACGCAGGCGGGATAAACGGTCTTGGAAGTCTTGGAAGAGGAGATCCCAGCAGACAGGCATGCGATGAATGGAGGTGGCTTATCTCCAGGATCTTTCGCAAGACGAGCCAATCAGTTGAAGATGAGATGCAGCAGCGAACGCATCGTCCAGTCGGAGTACCGAGCAGTTGCGCTATAATTAAATCCCACGCTGTGTGGCAGGTGATCCTCTTGAGGTCAGAGCAGATTAAAGACAGCACTTGGTTTAACTAGCACTAATTAATATCAACTAGGACTTACTTACTGTGACTCCGTGCTTTCCGACCGATTTCCAATTTCCCGCCGCCAAACCCGACCATTAACCAGGATGATTCCCAGATCTTGTCCACCGCGAGATAATTATAGATCGTTCGTCTTCTAAACAGTTTCTATTTTCACTTCCATTGCCAGTTCTATCTTCATCTATGAGGCTAAAGGGAATGAAGCCATCTGTGGCGGAGTTTGATGCTGATCATGGAATTCTTCAGATGAATCCTCCAGCTCACGCTAGGGACGGACGGACTCCTTCAGCGTCATTCCGCTCTCTGCATGTCACACTTGCCCTTGGGGGCCATTTCACCCGTACTCAATAGTTGGCTTTTGAAACTTGGGCCGGAGATGTGGCTGGTCCATGATCGCCCTCCTTTTTATTGCATCTTTCTCGCGTGGCTCTCGCTCTCTTGCTGACTCGTTATATAACCATTGACGTATCCCCCGTTCCTTGAATGATCGACACTGCTTTACTCTCGCTTGCTTGTCTGCTTGTTTGCCTGTCTCCAATTCTCTCGTTCTCGATCTTAGACTACTTTGTAGACATCTAGTGCGACTTGATTACGCCGAACCTCCTTGCTGACATTAATTCTGATACTGATTTAATTTAACAATCGCCTTCTGTTTCTTGGCCTGGGTTCCCCTCGTCAGCTGTGGTGGATGTAATTTCCCCTCGATTGGCTTTTCTTTCCCTTTCCTTTCTTTCTTTCTCGTTTCTTGCGACTCAATCGCTGCAATGTCTTCGCCTGTTCCATTTTACCAGGAGGTGGCATGGGTGCCGCAAGTGCAGCTGCCCGTTCCCGAGACTGTGCAATCGTCGTGGAGGTTCCTAGCATCATTGTCGTCTAATTTGCTGCTGATCGGGTACGTACTAGCTGACTGCAATCTTCATGTCGCACGTTGACTGATCAATCGTTGTGCGCGCAGATTCCTGGTCATTCCATTGGCCTTCGAAAGCCCAACGCAAGAGCCCGTCAGCAAAGTGAATTCCGTCGTCGCCGCTGCGGTGTTAATTGGATTCGCCGATGCTTTGGCGTTAATCCTCATCTGCTTCCAATATGACAAGCGCGAGTACTTGATTCATTCGATATTCGTGTACGTTGGCTTCCCCAGTCGCTTTGCCCGGGAAGAAATGAATGAATAAACTGATCGCTAACCCGACCCAGTCCCGGACTAGTCTCCAACCTCATCGGCCTACTCAACGTGATCATCAACATCCTGTGTCGCGACCTATTGCCCATCGGTCAGATTGAGGCAGCTAGTCTGGGCCTTACTTGCGCGTTTGCCTTTCTTCATGCCCTGGGCGCGTTGTGGGTGTACGGTCGGACAGTTGCCGAAGAGACTCGCGTGCACGGATCGAAAGACGACGCTGCGCTTCTGACCGAGGAGGAAATGCAGCGGCAGCAGCTCCTCCGACTTCTGCAGGAGAACAAGAAAGGCGTAAGCCCCAAGGTCACACAGAAGACGTTTCAGGTCAAGGTTCCCGAGCGCATCAACCCGGGCAAAGGCTGGGATACGTTCATGCCGCCTCCTCACGAGGAAGGGTACTTTGCGGGTTATACAAGGGGGAGATAGACTGCTGGCCTGTGTCAAGGTATGGCGAGATATCCGAATTGTTGCATTTGTGCCAAATTTCTGATCAGTGTTTAGCTTTTTTCTTCATTTGCTCCCAGTCAACGACCCGGCCTTTGCGCCGAAGGTGTATGACTGAAGTCACTCCTTTGAGACCTCCCATCGCTCGCGATGCCAACGAATCATTCCTTCGTTCGATCTGCATGTCGCAGTCGTGATATGCCGAGGATCATCCCTATCTTGGCAGAGCGTGCCAGGCACACGCCGCGTCAACGTGATCGTGACACCTCCAGTGACTCGTGCTGCCAAGTCAGTTCACGTGTTTAGACGCTCATTACGAAGGCATGATCGGCCTTCATTCGCTATATCTCGATTCAGCATAGACTGGGGAACAGCAGGGGAATTAGTCAGGACTGGGTAGCAGTGCTTCCTCGGCTCCTCGGTTGCGTCTCATGCGGGTAATATTCATGAAAGCGAGATTTTGATACTTATAGTGATAATTAGAATAATAGTAATGATAATTGTAGTACTTATATGCATTACTTGGCCTGGAGGATCTGTGTTGATTGATCGTCCTGAACAATCGTAATCAAACTCGGCAGAAAAAGAAGGCCTCGGCTATTACCCGAATGGGCATCCCGTGCCCGCTCGTCAAAAGAAGTCGTCAGCCGAGTCTCCTCTGGCTCCCCTTTCCCTCTCTTGCTCACTGCACATTGCATGTCCAAATCCCTGGTCGCCTTTCCATCCCGACCAGTCCATCACCATGGCCAACAGACGAGTCACCCTGCTAGAGCCCCCTGCGTTGGATGCCTCCAAAGCGCCGATCGAAAATGTCTTGGAGTTGACGCCGGTAGTCGACATCGGACCTGTACGTCTGCCTTTTCCCCTCCTCCCTCCCCCTTGCATCGCTCACGTTCGCTCTAACCCACACCTTTACGTCTCATGCAGGATGTCTTCACCAACACCCGTCCTCTTTGGCACCCGCCCGGAGCGCGGGGCATTTACGGCGGCGCGGCGATTGCGCAGTCCCTTTCCGCGGCGATGCGGACAGTCCCCTCCGATTTCGCCGTCCACAGCATGCACTGCTATTTCGTGCTGGCTGGCGACTCTGAAATCCCGATTCTGTATCATGTCGAACGAGTGCGCGACGGGCGGAGTTTTATCACACGGACAGTCCAGGCCAGACAGCGCGGGCGACCTATCTTCACCACTACCCTGAGCTTCAGCAAGGCGAATAGCGGCGGCAAGAAGAAGTTGGAACATGCGACGCCGATGCCGGCGGTTCCGCTACCGGATGACTCTTCCCCAGGGTCTAAGAAGCGGTTCGATGAGGGCGGCGGTGGACCGTTTGAGTCGCAGAAGGCGGGAGTTGTGAATCGTAAGTTTTTGTGGTGGGGAGACTTTGCGTTTCGCTACAATCTCTTAGTTGGTTGACATAGCTGACATTGCTTAGGGGACTCGAATCCCGAAGATAAGCGACTGCGACGATTTGTTCGAGCCCGAGGAAAGATCTCCGACGGCGGAGGCCACCACGCCCATCTTTCAGCCCTCGCCTACATCACCGATAGTTATTTCGTTGGTACGGTGTCGCGCGTCCACGATATCCCTCGATTCACCTCCCCCGCCGAGCTCAAGAAGTTCTTGAATGCGCTCAAGAACCCGTCTGATCTCGATGACGAAGATATCTCGCGGGCTCTTAAGGAACTGAAGGAGGAAGAGACGGCCGAGTTGCGGCGCCGGTTGGAAGGCGCGCTCAGCAAGGCCACGAACGAGAAGAACAAGGCGGAACACAAGGAAGTCGGTATGATGGTCAGCCTTGACCATTCGATCTATTTCCACAATCCCTGGGCATTCCGCGCCGATGAATGGATGCTCACGGAGATGGAAAGTCCTTGGGCCGGCGAGGGTCGGGGATTGGTGCTGCAGAAGATGTGGTCTAAGGACGGAACCTTGATCGCCACGTGCACGCAAGAGGTATGTTTAATCTATTTTTATTGTTCTCCACGTTGTTTGCTCGTTCACTTCGAGGATCAGTCAGTCGGTTGCTAATGCACAATGTTAAACAGGGCGTTGTGAGGCTGAAACAGGATGAAACCCCTCGCGCGAAGATATAGATGATTTTCCCTTTTTATGATACATTCTGAGTACTTAATTTATAGACAGAGGACGGGGTATGCTGGTTAATTGCCCTCATTTTTGCCATTTTCTTGCATTTGATCTTATATCTGGTTCTACTTAGGGGTGACTTATGGTGACCTGACATATTCGTTGTCTCAATGGTCCAATGAGCCTTTTTTCCTGTACATACACATGGTTATCTTCCTGCAGCATAAAATGCTAATTATCAGCTAATCCACAACGGGCGTTTCAAGGCCAGAATCCTGAATATATCTGCATACATTGTCATCATGATGAAACTAGATAGTTACACAAAAAATAGCAAAAACCCAGCCAAAATCAGACAAGAACAAACATGAAGTCGTAACCACAAACAGCCAACCAGAGCAATGAGAAAACAATCAGAATGAAACTAAATCCCGTGTTGAAATCAGAAATCCGCCCAGCCGTTTTGTCATGCCAAAAGGAAATGCAACCGATGCAAATAATAAAACTACAGTGGAAAAGGGTTGGTTCTTCTTCCCCTCCCATCTCCCCCCGTCCGTCTTCAGAGCGGAAGAACTTTCACACCTCCAACGTCTCCTTCTTCTCCATCTCTTTCATCTCCTCTGCTTCCTTCCGCTGCTGCATCTGGCTCTTCCATTCGCAGAATTCCAGCGCTTTGGCCCCCCAGACCTCTGCGCCCTTGTACTCTCCCACGTAATCCGGCCAGCTCCGGATCTCCTTGGCCAGGTTCTGCAACTCCTGCATCGGCAACTCGTCTAGCGTCGTCAGGATCGTCTTCACGCCGAACACGATCGTCCCCGTGCGGGGAAGGCGGCGGAAAGTCTGGCGCTCCCGTCGGATGACGATGTCCTGCGGTGATGGGTTCGGGTTGTCCTCCGATAGCGTCGTTGGACGGTAGAGGATCTCGAAGAGGTCTTCGCCGGGGCGTTTCACTTCGACGAAGTAGTTGGATCGTTCCATGGGGGACGAGGGTGTGAGGCGGGTGAGAAATCTATGATTACGGGTTTGTTAGTTGATTTGCGAGTTTTCGGGCAAATGGTATCAGTCAGAACTAACTTGCTGACAGAATTGGCAACCTGCTGATGCCACAATGGAACTGGGTTGTGTAGTCGCGAGATCGTCCAGCCAATTCGTTCCTGCACCGTCCATCCTACCGGGAATAGACTTGCGCTGGCGGCCCTAGATCCCCGTTGTCAGAATTTCTCCATCATGCAAGAATCAAGTTCAACTCACAGGTAATACTCATCGTCCGCATTCTTCATCAGAATACTCAGGTCCTCCATGGTCAATCGCACGGCGATTTCCAACGGATCCACGTCGCGATTCTGGCCCCCATAGACAAAGGTCTCCCCGGTCATCTTATTATGGATGGTCGTCTCGTCGCCGGACTTTTTCCGTTCGAACATATCCGAGAATCGCTGGCAGAGGAAATCGACCACCTCCTCCAATGCCTCCAGACACGCCTCGTACGACTCCGGCAGACACTGCAGCACCTTCTGCTTCTCCTCCCGCAACAATTGACTCCGGATCTGGTGCTCGTCCATGTAGTTCTTGTCGACGGTGAGCCAGTTCTCCACGTCCAGCCTGCGCACGTCCATCATCACCCGGTATCTCTCTCGTCCTTTGATGGGTTGGGCTGGGTAGGGCGCCACGCGCTTCAGGTCACTGCAACTTGTGCGCGGCGTTGGCTTTCGGGGCCATATTGACCGAACTTTGACGATAACAAGGGTGGCAAAGCACAGCGTAAGCACAAACCATGACAAGATATTCATCGCCGTTTGTGAAAGATCGATATGCCACCGATGCAAATGGTCGAGGATAATGATACAGCGAGAGGGAAGTAACAAAGAGGATAAAAAGAGGGAAAACGAAAGAATAAGTTGAAGAGCAGAAAAAGAAATGAAAAGATCGATTCCGAAGAAGCTTTTTACAGTCTCACGCTCAATTCAAAGATGCCACCACTGACCAGGATTCGAAGGAATGAATTGACCAAGCCAACATTAAAGAAACATGGCGAAAACTTTCTTACATCCTCGACGAGGGCGATGAGCTGATCCTATATACTTGCCAGGACCGGCAAAGAAAAGAAAAGAAAAAATAATCAAAGAAAAAAGCTTGGGAAATGAAGATCCTACGGGTCAGCCGATTAGCTACTACTATGGCGCCTTCTCTACATTCCGGATTCAGGAAGCTGGGATGCACTCTGATACGTTCTGCCTTTTCCCCGCAAAAGCCGCAATTCGCCGCCCCGAAAATCAAAAGAAAAGAAATTAATAATAATAGCAGAAAAGAAAAATAAAAAAAGGGAACCTGACAGCATCCATGATCCACATGATCCAGCTGAGAATGAGATGATGCTGCTCAGCTTTCAATGCCATCGAACTCCACTGAGGAGAACTCTAAGTGGATAACGAGGAAATGCACCGGTAGGAGGGTCTCCGGCCCCCCCCCTCTAGGGACTATGGATCCGAACTAATTCGTTGAACGGACTACTAAGGCTACGACTTTTGGGGACTGTTACGGTGCTAATTGCCCCAGTTGGTTAGGAACTAAGTATGTATCTGTGGTCCTAACTTAATCCTAAGGAAATCGTCAGGCGCAGCTCACGCGTATCATTGTCCGTGCGCAATCGAATCTGAGTGAGAAAGTGAGAGGCGAAAAACCAAAACAAACCGGAAAGAGATAAGGCAAGAGGCAAGAGAGGCAAAAGGTAAGCCGCAAATGAGATGAGAAAGAAGAAAAACAAATTCCACTCAAAAAAAAATAACAGAAACACAATATTGCCAGAAACCAAAAAAAAAAAGAGGCCTCGTGAGCTGACCCGACCCCCGAATCTGGAGACGGTTTTCCCCCTGTTCAACAGTTCCTGCGGTTCCGCTCCAGCGGTATTCGTCTTTTTGTTTCCGACGCAGACGCAGGCAATCCCCAGAATGGTATAATGTCTCTCGAAGGGGGAATTGCAACTACAGTATGTGAAAAGAAATACCGCACTCTGGCATGCTAAGCCCCCATGTCGACGAGCTGTCCAGTTTTTAAGAAGTTGCATACTGCATACAGATCGTGCATACGAACGGGGAAGGGGAAGGGGAAGGGAGGTAAGGGAACAAGAGGCAGACAGACAGACAGGTAGGCAGACCGAGAAACCAAAACGTCAGCATAATTTGTTACCAACCACAAGTCTGTACGACACAAAGGAAAAAGTAAAACCAGTAGCAGCGCGTGGGAATTTTTTGCGCTCCCCCTACTTGCGTGGGCCGATCCCAAATCGGCAGCTCGATAGTGACACCGTGGGTGGATGGAAACGAATGATGGGGGCATTTTTGAAATCCTTACGATCCTACAATCCAGGTACTGAATCTGACTAAAGTCCCACGGGACGTACGCATGTACATCATCGAAAAGTCAGTTGCCTGTGGGTGCCGACTTAAGACTGACGTGCTGGCATGCGCGAGCCAATGGGCCATTCCGGTCACGACGACTGGCCCGGAGGAGTCTGGGCCACGGGCTGAGAGGGAGAGACCGAGAGAGACTAGGTCATTAGAAGAAGGTACGGAAGGTCGGCACTGACGTACCATGAGGGAGTCCTTGCAGGTCAATCAATTCGCACGCGAAGGGGGGGTGGCAGGACCAGAGACCCTGTAGGTACTTGCGAGGTACCGACTACGACGCCCCGTACGGCGAAGATACAGGGCCAGCGGCTAGTGGAAAATCAACAACAACCCGGCAGGCGATCCACCAGGCGGCCGAGTCCAGAATTGGCCTCGCTCGTCTTGTCTAGCGTCCACGCAGCAGCCGAAAGGGTTGCACGACTCCACTCTTTCCAGGCAGAGACTCGTCCGGGGTTTTGCGCTGCAACCGCCTAGTGGGCGGAAAGCGCGCTTGCCGCTGTCTCTTTTGTGACTTTGTCCTAATGTTTTTAGGTCGGTGGGTCTATTGACAGTTGATCTGACTGACTTGACCATGAGGTCGATGTCTCAACCAAGAATGCGTCTTTTTTTTTCTGATTTCCTCACTTGACTTGCCTTTCCTAGTGGACTCAACTAGGTGCCTTTTTTTTGTCTGCCTTCCTCTCATTCAATTCTTACTGTACTCCGTTTGACCCCCTTCCGTGGGTCCCTTTTTCGTCGCCTTTCCGTTTTTGAGTGATTTTCTTTGCTTTTTTCTTCTTTCGATTTTGCTTCGCCCTGTCCAAGACCAGTCCAGCCTCCCCTCTCACATCTGACCTACGGAAACAAAGAAAATCCTCCGAGGACGATTCTTGTGAGACGCGATATGACCTCAGCTCGGGAAGGGAGTTTCCAGCCCTATCTATCGGCCAGCAATCAAGCAGGAGGTACGGAGTAGTTGCCTGGGTTCCGTACACTGTATGGATACAAAGACGCGGTATCTATCCGAAGAACGGAGAACAATGCCCATCATATCATACCATATCATTCTTCGTCGTCGCCTTCGCTCGTCGCCCACCCGCCTCACTTCTGAAGAAACTAAAACAGAACCCACCGACGCCGACCTCTAGGCTCTAACAAGTTGACCCATCGACCGACCACCAAGGACCCAGATTCGAGCCAACGAATCATATAGGCCGAATTACTTTTCCTTTGGCCGTGTGTACTAAAATCCACCAGCAGTCAACGAATCGGCCCGAACTCCACACCATACCCATAAAAACCGTCGTCTATAATCCGTACCGAGACATCGACCTGTCTAGACACCTGTCAACAGTCAAAAAGGGAAGAAAAAGTACGGATCGCGCATATCATATCCATGCACAGATCATAGACAGAACATGAACGGGGTACGGGTACGCAATGCACCTAGATGGAGAAAAACGGTATGCCCGTTACTCCATTTGGAGATCGAAGACTGTGTACGGTGTACGGCCTAGGGAAATGTGGGTAAGGTAGGTAGACGACGTAGGGTCCGATAAAAAAATAAATTGCTCGGAAAAAGAAACGAAAAGGAGATGGACAAGTCTCGACTCGACAATCGGCAATCGACATCCACTCAAAGTGCCAAAGTCCCAACCCCCTTTTGAACTAACTGCGTAGTCTAGGCCATGTCGATATTTACTTGTTAGGGAGTCCCTCTCGAGAGGGGAAGAAGGATTCGGTGGGACTCGGTGTTCAAGACTAAGGTGTTAGATCGATGGTGCACGGACTTTTTGGTGAGCTAGTTGGTTTAGTGTGTTGATGTGGTGGTGGTGATGGTGATGGTTCCTTTGGGAAGAGGCCTGTAGCTAGTCATGGTGTACTCGGTAGAAAGTGGTGGTGATGTTTTAGCAATTCATTGTAGGCAAACACCTGCTGCCTTCCTTTTGGGGTACTCTGTATACTACTAAACCACCACTCTACCCAAGCATGTACATACACTGGCAATAAGAAATGAAAAAAAAGCGAATCAAAAGCCCAAACGTAACCAACTAGGCAATTAAAGCCAGGTTCTCGCTCCTGACCCTGCAGTCTAACCATACCTACAATATCTCCCTATCAGAACCTCCGGCCTCCAATTCCGTCCACCTACATATAACATATGTAGACTACCTCGGGGAGCAAAAGCCCAGATCCGATCCTCCACCCCCATTGGTAGTAATACAAGTAGTTAGGTACATCCCTCCAAGACCACAGCTCGGCAAATACACCGAGGTAACTAGACGGTAAAGTCTACGTAACCCTTCTCCGCAAAGAAATGCAATGAAGGTCGATGCATGCGGATCCGATCCCCGTGTCGCCGTCCCGTTTTCCTTTTCCTTTTCCTTGCCTTGCCTACTTGGGATAGGATCTGAGTTGATCTGACATAAGAAGGAACGGCCTACATCATCGGATGTCTATCCCGTAAACACTGTGTAGTAGCGTAAGTATGTATGTACTTTTGTTCTGGAGGTTGGATTAGTTTGATTGGATTGGTTGGCTGGGGGAGGGGGGTGTTCTTGTGTTTTTGCTTTTCCTGGCGATTGATATGCGATGTGCATGTACATTACATGATGTATGTTGGTGTGTATGATGTATGCTAGGGTTTGTAGGTAGGTAGTCTGGGGTGGTTGGTTAAGTATGAGGTGGTGTCCTCTGGTCTTGGGGTTTCTCTCTCTCTCGATAGTTATCTCTATCTGTCTGTTTTCATTGTGTATCTCTCAGTTCATTTCTAGGAACTAAGTCCAGAGTTCTATCGGTCAACAATAAACACACTATAGGAATAACACTCTACTTCAAATATCGAATAAAAAATGAAATTGCAAATCAAACGTCACGCAAAACCCACGATCCCCAGAAAAGGGCTTCTCGGAAAACAGTGAACGATAAAAAGCAAACTACAATAGAGTAACCCAGGTCTTATATAACCCCATCCTCACACATAAAAAGGAAATATACTCTGGGAGATCCTACACGCAGTGCAACATACACTGTGGATATGTTCAGTTGATTCTCGACCAATACACCCCGTGATATATCCACTTCTATCTTTCTCAATAGAGCGGGTTTGACTTTGGGGTTTGAGTTTTGCGTTGGTGAATTTAGTGAATGGTAGACTTGAGTTCAATCTAATTTACGTAGGTCCTTATGTCATTGTACATATACCCAATATTGTATACTTTACGGTGTAGAGAGATAGAAGAATGGACAGCATCAGATGAACCAAGATCCATGTCCTGTCTATCAATTAATTAGTTCGTTATTCTTAGTACGTAAGTACCTGTGTATGTATGTACCAATAACGTACATATATATCTCAACCAAGTACCCGGTATCTCCTCGGTACATGTCTACTGTACGCGATCATCGAGCCGTTCCTCTCAAAAGGCCCATTCTGCCACCTAACAGGATGAAAAAGAACGGTGATCGTCACGGACTAGGGGCCAAGTTGGGTCTAGAACCGGGAATCCGGATTTCACATCATTGATGTAATGTACGGTGCCGGTTCTGGATCTCATGGATCATGTCAGTATGATGCATTTCCTGTTTTGGTGGGTTGAGGGTTTCATACCTGGGATTTGGGGGGTCTGGTAGGGTAGGGTAACTAGGTAAATAGTTGGTGTAGTGAGTTGTGGTGTGGTTGGCTTATTGTGTTTCTGGAATGAACTCCTCCGCTTATTTTCCGGGGAGTTGGTGTTATCTACACTATATGT